AAGACGTCATCTCGCAGAAGGAGGCGGCAAGAAGGCCCAGGAGGACAACCTCCACTCGGACCCAAACCGTCGCCAGCGAACCGGGCGAGGTTGTTGGTGAATTATTTAGGTTAGTTTTTTTTTTAAAGACAACTTCCGTATTAGGAATATATCCTATATCGCGGGGGACTTTACAAACATACATGAAACAGACACAAAGAACACCCAGACTCAAAACAATTTGTGGATCACACAAAGTGCCGATGCCATGTAGGGTTTGAACCCACAACACTCGGCGTAGCAGGAAGCTGCGTGGTGACCGCTTAAACCACTACTAGTTAGAACTGTGACCAACGAAAGAAAATAATAAAATTATTCTTAAGAAAATAGAAAGAAATGTTTTTTTTTATGTTGCGATTAATCATTAAGTCGATTTTTTTGTTATTCGATCTATTAGAGCTCGGTATTTTGAGCATAGTCATTACAAACGTTAAGAATATTGAAATTTTTAAATCATAAAAATAGGATGAATGATCAATCGGAGTAGTTATATCAGGCATTTTGAACCATTCGCAATTATGAAAGTCGGTATTTTGAAACCCGTCGTTGTGACTGAGGGACTGTGACTGGGACTTTTTGTTCCCTGTATTGTTTTTTTTTTTCTTATAAACCTTATTATTTTTAGCTACAATGGATCACAAGTGCACATTTGGCACGCGCCCGGCCATTGACATTCACATGCTCAACGAAATCATATTTCGAGAGGTGAAACATTTCAGGAACTACAAGATATACAGACCTAATTTTGGAGGTTCGTAGAAAAATAATTTTTTAAAAGTCTTTATAATGACACACACTAACTTTGTAGAAGTGTAAGAATCATAACTGGAATGGACAGTTTATCTAAAATCATTTTTAATTAAAGTAAAGCATCACTTGCCAAACGAGGGATATTTCTCACTATGGTGATAGACAAATAAATATATATCAGTACATAATCTTAATTACACATAATTAGTACGTATAGTTTTTCAGCAACATGATCATCATTATCAATAGCCCTTAATAGTCCAGTGCTGGACATAAGCCTCTCCATAGACAGGAGGTTTTGGCCTATTTGTATTCTTGAAATATTGGGTATTTGGCCACACTGGCCAGACGGGTTAGTATGGGGTTTGCTTCAAGTTTTACTTCTCTTTGCAATGCTGTTGTCCTGCGCTGTTGTGAAAAGGGGTGGAGACACTCTGTATTCTTAATCCGTCACCACACGGATTGATATCACACAACTTGATAGTGTTATTAAAAAAACAGTATGATGAAAATATGTATCAAAATTGGCAATTCAACAAGATGCCCAGAAAAGATGCAAAGAAAGCCAAGATTTTTCTCAAGTTGATGGTAATGATTGCGTTTTGTGTATTTTACAATACACTAGCTGACCCGGCAAACGTTGTATTGCAAAACAAAAAAAAATTAGGGATGGGTCATTCTTACCATTTAGGGGTATGAAAAATAGATGTTGGCCGATTCTCAGACCTACCCGATGTGCACACAAAATTTCATGAGAATCGGTCAAGCCGTTTCGGAGGAGTAAGGAAAGAAAATTGTGATACGAGAATTTTATATATAAGATGAAGCGAGCGTATCTACATTATTTTGGGTCTTGAACCGATGGATAACATACCCCATATATTTAGTACAGTTTTAATGGAAACACATTGTTGGTTATGCAAATTTTTAGCTATTCCGGTATCCACAAAGTTTTATGCACGACACGATCAGATTCAAGACGAAAGCCCGGAGCAAACTCAACAAGTTGAAAGTTACGGGCAAAGAGTAGCGCAATCAAGAGCTCAAGGACCGAAAAACATGTACGCTTCGCCAGCTACTGAAGCGATGGTGTAAGCAAGCTATGAATTAACTCAGTTAAATTAAAGAAATAGATTAACAGATAGATAAACTTAAAGAGCAAAACCATATCTAAATACAACATTTAAACAAATCTTAAGAGACTGTGCCGAGACATACCTACACATATTTTATTATTGTTTAATTCAGGCATAACCGTCCATAAGGATGTAACAAGAATTAAATTTAATCACATTAACTAATTATATTACATATGTAATATACATTAGAATTGTTAGTTTAAGGTTATTACATACAAAACCGCCTGTCCGTCTCTTTTTTACCGTAGTCTCTTGTGGAATAGAGAAGTAGGACCGCCCTTTAACACAATCTGTACAAATATTTTTTGCCACACTAAATTATTATAAACTAGACTATTAAATATATATGTGTTTTTTTAGTTACGGCTGGTACGATACTCCGCTAGTTCCATTCAACCGCAACGACAAACGATTCTACTTCCCTAAGAGGGAGAGCTCGCACACGAAGGTTGAAATCATCATTCTCATGTCTAACCCGCCGGGAGCAAAACCGAAAGCACCTCCACCACCGGCTCCCAAGGAGAAAAAAGGAAAATCGAAATAACTTTCATTCAGCAAATCCAGTGACAGTAATATCAGATACGATATTCATATTTACCTTCGTGTTTGCATAGCAATAGATAGATATTCATTTTTTAAACAACAAGAAATTAGGAATTTAAAATGCTTATAGTTTATTGTACTAAAAGTACAGTTGATGTTAAAGTGGCAAAAGCCTATAGAAGTCGTATAACCTGACAGTTAAAGGAAATAAAAAAATAAGCAATTTAGCTTAGCGGAAGGGGTTAACAAGAATACTAGTAATTTTGGTTGCTAGTAGACATTTAAAAATATATACATGAACTGACGTTACGATGACGTAAGAGAAAATTAGACTTATATAATGACAGGGTTTTCTAGTTATCACAAAAACACCCACTCAAGTACGATATTATTCAATAAGATTTAGATTAAGTAAGACAAATCATGTTATGCAAACTATGGAAATGAAAATGATTGCCTGTTGTCAACCTATTTTACGTAGCGCTAATTAGTACCATTACATGTTTAGTTTTAGTTTAGTTTCACACAATAATAGTTTTCACAAATAAATTATAACCCAAAGTGAAACAAACATCCATTCAACTACGTGAACATATTTTTTTTGGTTTATAGAAAGCAAACAACTCATTAACAGTAAAATTTCCACTGAAAATGAGAAGTTCCCAGTACACAGATAACTGAATTTGGGTGTAAAGACATAATGAAAATAGGTAAAACGGATGGCGTAGTGGTTTAAGCGGTCACCTCTCTGCTTCCTACTGCGCTGAGTGTTGTGGGTTCGATCCCCACAGGGGACAACACTTTATGTGATCCCCAAATTGTTGTTCTGAGTCTGGGTTCCTTTGTGTCTATTTCATGTACGTTAATAAAGTCCTCCGCTACACAGGATTCATTTCTAGTGAAGAAGTTGTCTTCTTTAAGGAAGAAAAAAAGAGGTACTAGTTGTCGCTTGGATGTTAATATTTAATTATAGCTAAAATATGAAAAAGGTGTTTCTTAATGCTAATTAAAGCCTTTGTTTTTGTCTTGAAAACTTCCTGAATTATGTTGTGTTTACTTATTTATGTATAAATTAGGTTACTAAGCTCGGTTTTTACAGTTCTGTTACACACGGAAACAGGGTTAAATGATCTGATTTCAACAAAAATGTTACTGGGGAAAATATATTTAATGTTTTATTTTGTAGAACTTTCTTAAAAATACAACTGTTTTGTGATTTTTAGGAACGTGAAGATTTCAACAACTTGAGAATATGTTTGGGTTTTATAAGTAATTTATTTTACTATTATATTTAGTTAATAGTTATATAGCAAAATAAATATTATATGCTTTATTTTTTGTTTTATTTCAGTATTAAAGCATCTTTTAGTTACTGTTACTGTTTCCCAATTTTGCTTTAGTATGCATGGAAGTTTATTTCTATGTATTTTAATCTCTACCAATACAATATGATTCTGGTAAGGGTGTAAAAACTATTCAGTCTGATTACTATCAGACTTATTAGCTCACTGTCACCGTAACAACTTGTGTATTTAGTCACACATGTTACATTTTGCATGTACACACAATTAGGAACACACGGGCATAAACAACCTTTCTTAATATTTCTAAAAACCTTAAAAGCCCTAACTTAAAAGATGCTTTGATTCAATGAAAATTCGTTTTGTTCAATATTTGTGTGAAGACCGAAATATTATCTTTCGTTTTCTTTAGAAACATCAAAGAGTTTATCATGTAAGTGCTAAGGGGGCGTCCGATAATTAAAGTCTTTATAAAAAGCAAAAAAAAACCCACCACCATTCAGTATATTACAATGTACTCTGTGCCCACCAGGGTTAAAGCGTAATCCAAAAAGGATATAATAATATAAAAAATGAGCTCTCATTAAATGAACTAGAGCTTTGCAGTTTTATAGTAACGTGAATATAATTATTGGGGATGTTTTACGACGACATAAGGTAACACAGGATATCTTCATTTTAGTTGAAATTTGAAATAGAGATGGAAGCCCCCGACGGATATTCATTAGTTGCTTATTAAGTTCACAGGTAGTCAAATTTATTATTTATTATTGCCATATCTAAGTATATCTTTGAGAAACAAGTAGGCACGTAAATAAGTGCTATGAAAACTGATGATCAACATTTTTAAAGGGCTAGAGAAAAAAAACATAAACTTAAATTTACTGATCTATAAATTTAAGTTTCTGTTCTTTTCTCTAGCCCTTTAAAAATGTGTGTATTTGTTTAATAAATTAAAATATCTACCCGTTATAACTTCCATTTCGGTTATCTGATTTTGACGTCACGTCACCAGAACTGAGTCTCTCTCCTGCCTCGCCTGGAAGGGAAGTTTTGCATACGGGATGCTTTATTTTTATATAGAACATTTTTATTATTACAAAAAATGTGCTTCACGATGTATTGTGCTGATTATTTATCAGTGCAATCAATCGCATTTAAATGTGTGTTAAGGATGGAAAATCAAAGAAGTATTGTGTAAAGCAATATAAACCACGGCCCTCGAAAAATGATGTTATTGCTCATATCTCTTAGTCAGTTTCAAAGTAACTAGAATTCGAAGCAGGCAGCCGGGGCAGCTGTCATCTTCGAGTCCTAGTTACTAGTTGAACAGTCATAGCCTTCCATAATGTTCTTGTTAAGGCGTATATTTCTACCCGTTCAAACCTAACCTGAGTAAGCACACCGCTTCCTAGAAAAGGCCTCTAGAAAATATCTGCTTTGAATAAAATAATAAGCTGTGGACAGTGGATAAAAATTTGAAACTGACTAAGATACTGCCCCTAGCAATAACAAGACGAAAAGAAGAATGATTCTTTGCGTACACTATTAAGATAAATCTATGTGTGATAATTAGTTTTGTAACAACAGTGCGCAATTAAGGTGGTCTTTCCATTTATTTGGTTGCCTACGTTAGGTACATACGAGTACTCTCTACTGCTTTAGGCTACTAAAGGCTGTTGATGTGATGATGATGTGATGAAGTTTATGAAGGGTATAACCTGTTTGAGGATGTAAATAGAGCTGGATTATCTATGAATGCAAATCAGAAAAGACATTTTTCGGTACTTTAGTTTATAATGACATTGTATATAATTATTGACCTACAGAACAGAAGGTTTTGAAACCGAAAGAATAGTTTACTAATTGAATTTCTCTTTACCTTTTAACTTTTCCCAAAGAATCAGGTAAGACATTTTTTTGTGTTGTACAAAACCTTGCCAATAACGAGATGTATAAAGAACTTTTACATAATACGAGTAAACACCCAATAAGTTGATCATCTCTGTATTCTTTTGGACATCAGAATGTGTTTTTTGAGGAGCAATAGATATAATCTCACATAGAATACTGTTCGGCCCGAACCTTACCTCTTACTAGCAACGGAGGCCGAAATGTCTTTGAAGTTAAAAATCCTTTGATAACTAGGTTATGGAGGGTAAACCAACTTTGTAAAAAGGTCTCTTATAGCAGTTCATAAAACATAGTGCATCATAGTGAACGGAGATGCCAGCTATCGTGGCCAGGATCTACGCTCAGACACCATTTACTCAAACTGTAAGAACAACAATAACAAAGTTGTTCTTACAGAACAACTTTCCGGGTGAACAACGAAATAATTGCTCGGAAGCGGAAAGCTTGTCATGGAACGATTTTATTTATTTAATTATTATTTTTACAACAAATTAGTATTACTCGTTTTTTCTAATAACCTATTATTTTAAGCAACAATGGATCACAAGTGCACATTTGGCACGCGGCCAGCAATTGACATTCACATGCTCAACGAAATTATATTTCGAGAGGTGAAACATTTCAGGAATTACAAGATATACAGACCTAATTTTGGAGGTTCGTAGAAAAATAACTTAAATGAACTTTGTAATAGCACGCAATAGCTTTGTACAAGTGTAAGAATCTTGACTGGAATCGACCTTATCTAAAAGCATTTTTTAATTTTCTTATACTCTGTTCTTTCCTTCCTTACGAGTGATATTTCTCACTATTGTTTAGGGATAGTTAAATATTTTTTCGTGACAGCTGATTGGGGTTACTACCCTTAAGCTCATGTTATACTGTCCCTAATAACTATGCCAACTGGCTGATATAAGTACTCTACATAGGTAGGTCGGCCAGCCCAGCTGATCAGCATTGTACTGTAGTCTAATACCCAGGGAGAGGTGGTTACGGGCACGCCGTCATCGCGGCTGTAAGACCCGTTATGGAGGATTGGCTCGAGAGGCATCACGGGACCCTCTCATACCGACTGACGCCGGGGATCACTGGGAAAGGATGTTTCGGGGATCACTGGGAAAGGATGTTTCGGGGATCACCTGTATCTGATTCGCAAGGAGCCAACGCCTGAGTGCCACCACTGCGATGGTCGGACCGTGGACACGGCGCTCCACACGCTGGTAGAATGCTCGGCGTGGGTGGAGCAGAGGCGAGACCTCGTGGCGGCCATCGGAATGGGAGTTCTCTCGCTCGATAACCTGATTGCGGCTATCGTGCGGAGCGAGAGTGCGTGGAACTCTGCGGTCTCCTCCTTCGAGCAAGTTAAGCTTGCGAAGGAGATGGCGGAGCAGGACCGGGAGAGGTTTAGAACTCTCCCGGCCCGCCAGGCTCGGGAACGAGCCAGGTACCGTAGACAACTCGGGCGCCGGAGGTCGCAGAACGACCTCCGTCCTCCATAAGCGCAGGCCTGGGGGTGACAGGTTAGGTCATTTGTCACCCCAGCAGAAGCAGGCCGTGGTGGCGGCGAGCGCGTTGCGAAACGCGCCCGCACTTCCGGGAGGACAGAGGGAACATGGGGGTGCCCACACAGGCGGGGTCGTCTACCCGCCGTAAATGGCCCGAGGTACGTCGGAGAACCAGGGATTTCCTTTGTAGGGTACACCTGGTTCCCCGACTACTGGTAACTGAGATAGAGAATTTGGATTTAGTTTGGGTAAATCGACAATTGACGCTGTTATATCGGTTAAAAAGTTTGTCACAGAATCAAAATTTCAAAACGTGCTGGTTATTTTCTTAGATATATCTGGCGCCTTCGACAACGCATGGTGGCCCATGCTGTTGCTGAAATTAAAATCACGGGGGTGCTTTAAAAATATTTATTCCCTTATTAGAAATCAAATATAGCTCACCTAGGACCCGTAATATTTAGGCCCGTGTTGCTTCCCTGTTTAAAATGGTGTATGCCTATTTTACTTCATTTTGCCTCCCGCTTTGCTAAGGACTGAAGTGGATTTACTGTATTTGCAACTCCTCCAATTTTCTTCTGATTAATTTCGTTGCGGGTTCCAAGACAGTTTAATTTCTTCCTGGGACTTCCCGAGTGTCATAACTCGGTGTGTTCGTGGGTCACCGCTGTGGATCCTGGTGTACAGGAGTTACAGTGGTGGGCGTGTGGGTGGGATTAGTCCCTGGTACCTGAGATGGCGTGCGGTTTTAGTCGGTTCGAGTCCGACATTGCCACCGGTAAGTGGTATCCGAGGGGATTTCCGCACAGGAAAAAAAAAGGGAGAGCTATTCTAACCGGCCCAGATGTTAAGCCTTCGTACCGTAGTTAGAGTAGTAGTGAAACACCGAGAACGTTTTAACGTGTTTATTGTCAAAATGTTCCTGATTAATCAAACAAACTAAAATTAGTCTAACAAATTGTGGCGGTTGTGGCGAGCGAGCTCTCAATGATCGTATATTACATACATTCAGTATATTTTTAATGGTAACACATGTTTGTCATGCAAATTTTCAGCTATTCCGGTATCCACAAAGTTTTATGCACGACACGATCAGATTCAAGACGAAAGCCCGGAGCAAACTCAACAAGTTGAAAGTTACGGGCAAAGAGTAGCGCAATCAAGAGCTCAAGGACCGAAAAACATGTACTCTTCGCCAGCTACTGAAGCAATGGTGTAAGTGAGCTACGTATAAACTCAATTAAATCAAAGATATAATTCTACAGATAGATAAACTTAAGAGCAAAACCTTATCTAAAAAAAATATTTAAAGATCGCCACTATTACATTAGAATTGTTAGTTAAAAGTTATTAGATACAAACCCACCTGTCCGGCTACTTCCAACCGTAGTCTCCTGTGTTATAAAAAAGGGACCGGACAATAACGTCTATTACAATCTATAAAAAATATTTTTCTGCCGACTATTTGAATTAGTATCAAAGATTTTACTATCTTTCAGGATATTATAAACTAGACCATTATATATATATATGTATGTTTTTAGTTACGGCTGGTACGATACTCCACTAGTTCCATTCAACCGAAACGACAAGCGATTCTACTTCCCTAAGAGGGAGAGCTCGCACACGAAGGTCGAAATCATCATTCTCATGTCTAGCCCGCCGGGAGCAAAATCGAAAGCACCTCCACCACCGGCTCACAAGCAGAAAAACTCATAACATTTATAGTTCCGGGCCTATACGACCTTCAAGAAAAGAGCGTACTCCTTCCTCAAAGGCTGGCAACGCGCTTGAGACTCCTGAGTTGCAGGCGTTTATGGACGGCGGTAGTCGCTTTCCATCAGGTGACCCGTCTGCTCGTTTGCCCCCTAATTCATAAAAAAAGTTCATATTTATCTTCGTGTTCGCAAGGCAATAGATAAAAACTGCGATGAGAATTTCTTCAATGGGAAATTATTTTTCAAACAAAAGGAATTTAGAATGTTTAAAGTTTATCCATACTAGAAGAGCAGATACCTATACTTAGCTAAACAATATCACCATATTATAATCTTGGTGTTATTACCTTAATAATTATGTAAAAATGACAAATAGCCATGCTGCATGCATGCCACCTGCTATGGTACAAAAATTGTATAACCTGACAATTTAAGTAAGACTGATAAATTAAATAAAACAAGATATTCAAAACGGTTGAAATTCAACCCAAGCCGATCTCTTATATTAACTTTTATTATTCTTTAATTGACTTTGATAGTTACCCTTCGGCCAAATTGGAAACTACTGGTTGATGAAATTCTTTCGAATCAAGGAGTTTGTAGATATATTGGAAGAGTTTCAAAAGAAGATCCACTATTCTGTGTTGGTAACTAGTTTCTAAAACAGAATTATTTTTCTTAATGTGTGTACGACTTCGTGAAGGTATAATGGTATTTTGAAAAAAATTATGCTACCATTTATACCTCCGGTAATATGTAGTGACGCACCGATGACGTAAGAGAGAATTAGACTTAAAAAGTATAATGACAAGGTTGTCTACTAATCACAAAAAAACATCTACTGAAATCTGATAGCAAATAAGCTTTTGATTAAGTAAGACAAATCGTGTTATGCAAACTATGGAAATGAAAATATGATGAATACGCCGCCTATTTCGCCTATTTTTTATCAATCTATTTTGAGCAGAGAAATTTAGAGACTGGTGGTATGGTAATATGGTAATCAGATTGTTGATAAATATATTTACATTTCTAAATACAAATATAAATGTTAAGTTAGTTTGTATATGCTTAAAAAACTTAAAGAGTTCTGCGAGAATTGAGCCAAATTTGTTAATGTTTTTATCAATTTGTAGTCATTTTCATTCCTCATTTCTCATCAATGCAACCATAATGTACCACAGCGAAGCTTGGCAAGATGCAGCTTATTATAGACAAATTACAACCAGGCTCGGGACAAGTGATCGTGCTCATCGCACAAATGTTTGACGCTTTTAAATTTCCACTAGAAATGAGAAGTCCCTGGTAAAAAGATCAGTGATGTTGGTTAAAAATAATCAATTAAATTTACAAGTTGTCGCTTGGAGGTTTAAATTCAACCATAACTAATACAAGAAAAAAAATGTTTTATTGATTTCATTAACAGATAACACCCAAGGAAATTGGTTGATAAATAGAAAGGAAAAATTACTGAATCGTTTTGTTGTTTTATTTTTTGTGTGTGTGTTTTATTAGGTTACTAAGCTGGATGCAGGTTTTTCTTTTACAGTTCTATTGTATTGAGAACACGGTTAAACGTATAGATTTCTGATTTTCAACAAAGTGTGATGAGGAAAATATATTTTTATAAGTTTTATTTTGTAGAATTTTTAAGTCCTTTACTTTACAATAGTTGTATATGTATTATTTAATAGATTTTTATATTTTAAAACAGATATTATATGCATTATTTTTTATGTTAGTAATAAAGTTTATTTTAGTTACTGTTGGTCTTTTCTTACCGGATTTTGGCTTCTGCACGAATTGTGTATAGATTTTAAATATTTCAATTTCTACCATTACAACATTACCTTTACTTATATTTTATTGTAAAGATATCAAAAACCATACGACCTTTAAACTTTCAAGAAAAGAACGTACTCCTTCCTAAAAGGCCGGCAACGCGTTTGTGACTTTTGAGTTGCAGACGTTCATGGGCGGCGATGGTCACTTTCCATCAAGTGACACGTCTCTAACATAAAAAAAAGTCTTAAACAACGTTTCTTAATATTTCTATTACTGTACCTTAAAACCTTTAACGTAAATAGTACTTTGATTTACTAAAAGTTTATTCTGATATCTATGTAAAAAGCAAAATATTGTCTATGGTTTCCTTCAGATCATTTCTTCACGTAATTCCAAAGAGGTGTCAGATATTAAGTGATGCCTTTAAAAGGGAAGAGGTCGATCCGAATTTTCGCTAATAGCTCGTAATCACCTAACTGTTTTCTAATCTTAAAACATGAATAGTTATTGTGTAGTTTTCTAATCAATCCAACGCAACTAAGCATAGGCTTGGTTCTCTAAGAGTTCTCAATTTAAACAATCTTATGTAAGATTAAAATGCAGGACGGGGAGGTGGAAATCTACTGATCTGACATCTCATCAAATAATATAGGACGGTTAGCACTGAGGCTTTGTCGGTGTTGGCGGGTGTGCTTCCGGTCGATCTCGAAGTGCAGAGACGTGCAGCCATGTACTATTCAAGGCAACAAAATATTTAATGCGATTTTTTGGGCTCGCAGGATCGCGGTAAAATTACAAGATTGCTTCAACAGCAGTCCGATGTCTATAATGACCTCATAGACGAATGGATACAACGCTGGGACGAATCATACAAGGGGCGACATCTTTACCAGTTCTTACCATCTGTTCGCGAACGAGTCGAGTCGAGTCTCCATTGTGTTAATGCTCAACACCTAACTCTCACTATGAACAGTCTGCTTATCATATCCTCTGGGAATGTAGTCTTTGGTATAATGAACGTAATATAATGCTGAATAGCTTGCAGGTGACATCTGGGGCGGTATACTATGGGGATCTTGTGTCAACTAGGGTGAATTTCTGTACGTTTAGGCGATTCTGCCATTCATATTATAGAAATCAAATATAGCTTACCTAGGGCCCGGTTTACTGTGGCCGTGGTGCTTTCCTGTTTAAAAGGGTGTATGCCTATTTTACTTCATTTTGTCTCTCGCTTTGGAAGTGGATTTACTGTATTTTTACTTTATTTACTGTATATTAATACCCTATATTAATTAGATTTAATGTAATTACTGTTAACTATAACTAATACTAGATATTAAGTACATCTATAAAATATTAACATAAGATGAAATGTAAAATTAAGGGCTATGGAATACCTAAATGGCTTTATTTTATATTTTTATATGGGCAGCGATTGTCACTTACCATGAGGTAATCCGCCTATATAACATAGAAAGTTTTGGAGGCCGACTTGTACATTCTGTTTCTTAGATTAAAATGCTAATACTTCTTTAGGCTTAGTCATGTGATATTTCTTTCATCATAATTTCTTCAAAAACTGATCATTAAATTAACCCGTTATTACCCACAAAGCCCACAGAGTTGCCACATTGTCTAAGGTTTCAATGACGAATGATTAAAAAAAAGCAACCTTTACATAATATAATGAAAACATAGACAAGTTTTTAATGACGTTGACACACAATGTTTTGATATAAAATTATAATTTTGTTATAATTTTTTTATGTTACACAATAATCAGGTATGTTAAATCACTTGCTTATACGTTGTTACTTTTCCAGACCACAGTCTTTTCCTAACAGGAATGTGACTTTGCTACCTGTGCCTCTCACTTTGGAACATCGACTCTGCGTACATCAGGACCGTAATCCTTGGATAAACATAGATTTTTGGTGGCTGTTTTTCTTCTGGACCACCGCCTCGAACTCATAACCTACATTTTGTTTCATACAGACTTCTGTTCAGCCCCTAACTTTTCTCGACCATGTTTTCACATAGTTGAGAAAAGATAAAAAGATGCCAAGAGGGAATATATCCGTAAAAAAATATTACTAAATAATGACTACGACCTACGTATTGTTAGGTCTTAGCACAAACTTTCTCTGGCAGCAACATGTCTGATATGAGAGATATCCTGTGTTAATAGTCCTTACGTCATAACAGTGCCTTCAATATTATTTCCTTCTGAAGATGACTCTGTGGTGGTATATATAGAAACAAATACATTCCAATCATCATCATCCTCCGAGCCTTGTCCCAAACTAAGTTGGAGTCGGCTTTTTGTCTACTGCGACATGGCTAAACTGTTTTTTTTACGTAGAGCGACTGCCATCAGACTGTAGATAGACTATTATCGGACTTTCTTTAGGGCTCCAACTCATTGCCACAGGTGTCCATACGGCAACCAGGACCGACGGCTTAACGTGCTCTCCGAGGTACGAAGAGGTCGCATTGTGTTAAGAATTGTCACCCGCTCATAGACTTAGGCTTACTTTGCAAAGTGATAACCTATTCGACATAGCTACGAGACCCTTAAATACATAAATATATCCCGATATTTCTCTTATAGTGTAAATAAATCATTATTTTAAGCCACAATGGACGGTAAATGCACATTTGGTACGCGGCCAGCAGTTGATATTCATATGCTCAATGCTCAAATTTTTCGCGAAGTGAAACATTTTAGAAATTACAAAATATACAGACCTAATTTTGGAGGTTAGTATTAAACAGTTACTAATAGGGTATATGGAGGCTCCTGCAATAGACTCACTTGCAACAGAATACCGCGTGGTGTTAGGTTCCAATCTGAAATATCGCTTTACCCTCGGGTTTAATATACGTATTTAATGCTAACTTTCAATGACGTTTGTCGATGAATTTTTCTGTAAAAACAAGTAGCCTACATGTTGTTCGAAACCATAATCTATCTTCACGCCTCAATGTAAATATGCTGTAGCTCTACCGCTGCACGAAAATAAGTTTATATTTTTTATGGTATGGCAAAGCAGACGGTTTACCTGATGGTAAGTGACTTCCACCGCCCATAGACACCTGCAACTGAAAAGTCATAAGTGTGCCGCTCTTTGAATTCCCCATCCCCCCAGAGTGTGAAGGGGTTTCCGGGGGTGGAGGGACTTCCACCGCCCACGCGACCACACTTACTCGATAAAAAGCAACGAAACACCTGCTTAACACCGGTTTTAACAAAAACATACCGAAGAAAACGGTTTTAGCTCCCTTTTTTTTTTTTTCCGTGCGGAAATCCCCTCGGATACCACCTGTCGGTGGCATGTCGGACTCGAACCGACTAAAACCGCACGCCGTCTCGGGTATTAATAGCCGGGGAACCAGGTATACCCTAGAAAGGAAGTCCCTGGTACCCCGACATACCTCGGGTCATCTACAGACGAGTAGACGACCCCCCCCCCCCCCCGTGTGGGAACCCCATGTTCCCGGTGCTACCTGGAAGCGAGCGCGCTTCGCAAAGCGCTTGCCGCCACCCCGGCTTGCTTCTGCTAGGGTGACAGATGGCGTCACCTGTCACCCCCAGGCCTGCGCTTATGGAGGACGGAGGTCGTTCTGCGACCTCCGGCGCCTGAGTCGCCTGCGGTACCTGGCCCGTTCCCGGGCCTGGCGGGCCGGGAGAGTTCTAAACCTCTCCCGGCCCGCCGGCCCGCCAGGCCTCGCAGAAGGAGACGGCAGAGTTCCACGCACTCTCGCTCCGCACGATAGAGCAGGCTATCGAGCGAGAGAACTCCCACTCCGATGGCCGCCACGAGGTCTCGCCTCTGCTCAACCCACGCCGGGCACTCTGCCAGCGTGTGGAGAGCCGTGTCCACGGTCTGGCCATCGCAGTGGTGGCACTCAGGCGTTGGCTCCTTGCGGATCAGACACAGGTGATCTCCGAAACATCCCTTCCCAGTGATCACCTGCGTCAATCGGTATGAGAGGGTCCCGTGACGCCTCTCGAGCCAATCCTCCATAACGGGTCTTACCGCCGCGATGACGGCGTGCCCGGGTTTTAGCTCCCCTAAAAAGCTGTCAATACTTCCATAATTAAGCCTTTGAAGTCTTACAGTCATCATTCGCCACTAACAATCAAATGAATATCAATAAGCTACTGGCGATGTTTTAACCGTGTTGATACATTTTATGACAAACTCACTTAAAAAAAAACATGATTAAACATACTTCACCATACCACCTCACGAAGACACACCTAACGTACTGCTAATGCCGCTAATTTTTACCAGTTCTCCCGGTGGCAACTAAATTTTACGCACGCCATGATCAGATTAAAGGCGAATCTGACCAGGATAAGAAGAAAATTGACAATTACGAGATGAACGTGGCTCAAACTAGGGCCAAGGGGCCCCATAACAAGTTCCCTGCACCAGCTACAGAAAACATGGTGTAAGTTACCTGAATAAAAATTGTTATGTACTAAATATACTATAAGAAATGTAAATTCTCTTCTCTTGCTAATTCTTAATGGAGGGGCTAGAGTAATGGCGGAGTAGTCTACAAGTCGTTAAGATTTTTTTATGATACAAAATTCAAACGAGCAGAAGGGCTACCTTATGGAAAGTGAATACCCCCGGACCATGACGCCTGCATCTCAAGAGTAAGGCAAGCGCGTTAGCCGCCTTGGAGATGAGACGATCTTTAGGTGAATGCAAAAAGTTTCTTGAAAAGTGATGATCAAATTATGCCTTATTTACAAAAAACGAGTACCTATGTGTTTTTGTGTGAAGAAAAATATATGTATAAGTATCATGATATTTGCTTTACTTTAATCCTTATGATTTCAGTTATGGTTGGTACCACACACCGATTGTAGAAATAGATCGCAATGACAAGCGATTCTACTGTCCAAAGAAAGAAAGTTCGCATACCAAGGTTGAAGTGATCATCCTCATGTCAAACCCGAGGGCAAAGAAGTAGAGACGTTTAAAAAAAATTTTTACAAAGTCAAAACAATCTACATCACTCGACAAGATTATGAAGCTTATTTTACTTTGGCAACATCATAAACTGTAATAAAATCAATGCCATCTAGTGGTGAAATATAGAACTTTGCCTTGATTTAAAAAATTGCTGTAGCTGATTAATTTTGTCAGAAAACCACAGATAACTGGCGAGTACACCCTAACTCTTGTGGTTATTGTCACACTCCCATTGCAACAATAACGAGTAGGTATATAATTAAATACATACGCTTCTGACGTTCTAGTAATACGAGTATGCTTCAGCCTTCACTTTCTATTCCGATAATGTTAAAAGCTTTATGGCGTTCATTTATATACTACTATATTTTCTTGTCTTATCAAGTTACTTATAATTTTTTACTTTGTAGTTATACTATAATTTTGTAGAAACATTTATTGTGTGATATCCTTTTTTTACTTTCTATAGTATTTAACTGTACACAATAATAAAACCACTCTTCTAACGTGTTCAGTAATTTCAATAACCGACTACTTTTTATATTGTTTCAATTTTACTCCTAGGCACAGATTACAAAATCTGTGCTCCTAGGTAACTGTTAAATCAGTGCATATCTCATGATTTCCACATCAAGTGCGATATTAGTCATTCAGATCTGACAGTTACTAATCATTGTTTTGGACGAGTACCTATAGATTTGGAATTAAGCAAATAAAAACTTATTGGACCCTCCAATAAATTTAATGCTCAGAAGTTTCTATGGCTACGACAGGCCTGGCATGAAATCCAAGCCTTATGCAACAAAAGTTTCATGTATAAATTATAAAATAATCTACGCCCTTATAAATGTATTGTCACAAGGAAACACCATTCACGAAAAGTGTATTTTATTCATCACAAGTCTTTTCTTTCGACGCGTACTGATTCCATCCACGAACACTCTGGTTCTTATAATCTTTCTTCTCCAAAGGCCTCAGATGAGCAGCAGCAACGCGATCCCTGCAATACACGTTGCAATTTATTACAGTAATAGCTTTAATGTTTTGCAAAAGTATTATATCTTTTAACCAAAGTGAACAGTTCTTTCCTTTCATTGATGTGTTCAAACTTTCCGGGGTTTTTAGTGAAGTAGTATAATGTTGGAATCTGAGATCAAACCGACTAAAACCTCTTTGGTAAGGAACGGAGTCCCGAGAATCTAGCCAGGGCAGCAGGGCCGCGTCTTGTCAAGGTTCTACAAAACCTATTCGCTAAAAATGTGTAAACATTAATTACTTACGCGAACTCCTCATAGCTCTTGGCTGTGTGTATGGCGTCACACTTGACGCTGTTTACTCTCCAATACTTTCTATCATCCTCAACACAATTCTTCAGTTGGTCTTCCATCGCCATGAAGTCTTCTTGGCACAGCGGCTTGTTCATCTTTATCTACTTAAAACCCTGACACGTTTTATGCAAAATATTTGGGATATTTCTTGTGATTAAATTATCCGTGCCTGGATTGTGCGATTTCAATTGCGAGTGAAGACAATCTCATAGACAACGAAATAACAGGTCGTTGCTATGGAAACACTATAGTCAAGGAAGAAGAAAGATATAACCATAGAGATATAAGCGTAGAGTGAACAAGAGCCTCAATTTATATTAATATTAATAAGTACAACTCCCGCACTAGGAATAAATCCTGTGTCACGGGCGACAAACATACATAAAACGGATACAAAGAACACCCAGACTCAGAACAATAATTGGTGGATCACACAAAGTGTTGTCCCATGTGGGGATCAAACCCACAACACTCAGCGCAGCAGGAAGCGGCAAGGTGATCGCTTAAACCACCACGCCATTCGTGCAGTCGTTCTTCGTTTCATCGTTCAATCTTGCAATTTAGGCAACGATCGACGACGAACGACGAATTTAGACGAACGGAGATGGATAATAGATGGATCCCTCTATCTCTTTCTAGTCGAGCTCTGCGGTTGACTGGGGAAGTATGAGGGGTTAATAAGTAGCCAACCGCAACTTAGCTAAACAGAGACCTAAACAAAGACAGAGACAACTATCGGGCATCCATCTCTCTCGTTGCCTGTATTGCAAGACTGAGCCACTTACAGGCAGCTGTACCTCGTTTTCTCTCTATGCTTATATCTATATGGATTTAACAGTTTTTATAATATTACCTAACCAAACAGTACCAATTTTTAAGAGTATTCTGTTGTAAATTCTTTTTTAAACACAAAAAAAAAAAAAAATTAGGTATCTCGTTTACTTACCTACATTTAAAAATATAGTTGTAGGAACTTAAAGACTGGTATTTGTTTTATTCGAAAAGAGTTAAACTATAAAAGCGGAAACTATAAATAACATAATTTCATGAAGTTGAAATAGTTTACAAAGAGTGGCCGTGAGTTTCTTATATGGCACGGCTGTAGACGAATCGACTGCATCGTCAAAGATTGCTTGTTCATTTGTGCTTCACATTACATCAACAGCCCTTAGTAGTCCACTGCTGGACATAGGCCTCTCCTAAGAAAGGAGGTTTTTGCCTACTATACCACGCTGGCCAGACGGGTTGGTATAGGGTTTGTGTCAAGTTTTCCTTCTTTTTGCAGTTCTGGTGTCCTGCGTAGTTTACTCCCTTGGTCAGCTCTTACTACACCCACGGGTTGATTAGGGGTGGTGACACTCTGTATTCTTAATCCGTCACCACACGGAAGTTTGTGCTTAAAGTAATTATTTGGACATTTATGTATATTTGCATTGGTCAGGATGACCAATGATATGAACATCCAGATCACAATAATGTAAATAAAGTCTTCAATGTATTATGTGAAGGTTCTAACCCATAGTTCGAACTATGCATACATGAAAAAAAACGCCTCAAATTCACTTTTGTTAACGCCTCAAATCATTCATTTTTGTGTGATTCCCAAGCAAACAGATAAATTATATGATACAAAATAACATAGCTAAAGTTTGATAAAGACTGCCGCTGGTATGTTCTTTGGTTGATCTCTCTAATTCTGATAAGAAATAAAAGAGAGCTAGTTTAATGAACATTACGTTCATTGGCACTGCTTCACTCCTACCCTTAGGAGCACCGTAAATACAGGTAGAACCGAGGGGAACGGTTAAGATTTAAAGTAAAAACTTGCTCTTCAGTACACTAAAGGACTGAAAATTGAAAGAAAATGCGTAACTTTGATAAATCATTGTTTGTAATACGACGTTAAACAAAAAATGAACTGTACAGCTAAGCAATGTACGTAACTCGATTACTCAATCCATCATTTCGCGACACTTGGCACTGGAATTCACCTTAAAGTAGGTACGCAAAAATCTTAATGTACTCAAACACCACTTAATTATAAGTGTAGTAATACCGTAAACAATCAAATGAAGTCGTAAATGTTCAACGCATAAGAATGTCTTTGTAACGGCATATTTTACTTTTAGACTCCGCTCAGAAGATAGGTGTCCAAAAAAGAGGCGCGCGTTCACAATGTTCACACGGCGAAGGATGCTCGAGCGTTAATTACGTGTTGTCGAAGTTCACTCAAAATAGGCGTTATAACAGATATTACACATATTAATGTGTATGTAATTTAATGATAAATGGTATTTTGTTTATATAGCCTTCTTCTACGTCTTTTATTAAAATCAAGCTTGATAGCGTTGTAAATACATGCTGATGTGAATATACGGGAAAAATTACATGTGCCTATTCTAAATACATAAAACATTTACCTGCTATGCTTATGTACTACTAACTATTAATAGTATTCTTCCAATATTTTTCATTTTTAACAACAATGTTAACATAATATGTATTTAAAAAAACATTGCGTGTATTTCGACATATAAGTAACTAAACAGGTACGAACTCCTCGATTTACTTTGCTCGGCCACACTCACGTTTTCCATGTGGGTTCCAATCCAGCGCCTGTTTAGCGATATTATCGGAGTCCCTACAGTGTGGCCAATACAGTTCGACTTGCGGCGCTTTGCAAGCTTAGCTTAGCTTAGATACGCCAATTCACTCCTCAATCCATCCGAATGCAACAATCTCATTCTTCCTTTTAGGCACCACTCTTTCTTACCTACCTTTCCTTTCTATTATTATCGAAATTTACCATCTTTAATTTACAAAGGGCACAGTTGGAGTTAATAGGCTTCCCTCTAGCCCTAGGCCCCATACTAATGTAATAAGAATGAGTGTTTAACATACATGTCTCTGCCTCTACGGGGATACAGGTGTGAGTGCCTAAGTACTTACATGTATTGTACGTATATGTAAAAGCCATAAACCACATGCAGTGCTGCTATTATCAGTTTGTGCATATTGCACGTGTATTGCACGTGGGACGTATTTATAAACACTTTCACACAGTTGTAGAGTAAACGGCAGCGATTCTCCATCAGATTTATTGCGCGTGTTATTGTAATAGGATTGCATTGCTATTTCTAGTGAATTTTCAGTTTTATTAAAAGTTTTATTGGTCAGCTATCTATACTTATTTTAGTGTGCAATGTTTACTAAATACAGTTGCTTACGTAAGTACATGCTACTGTGATTTTCTAATTTCGTGTACGTGTGTGTTTTAATATTTCAACGCTCGTCTCATCATATTATTCTCGTTAAGATAAAAAGAAACTATATTGTTTTTAAGTAAAGGAAAAGGGACATTGATACAATCTTGTATACTTATGAATCTACGGACTCGGCGTAGGTTCATAAGGGTTTTTTCTTTAAATGGTTCTTTTTTTATGTTGCAGGTTTAGCTTTATTCTCAATAAACATCATATATGTATGTGGTTACGTGAATTACGATATGTTTGAAGGATTTGATACTAATACTAACGACATTTTTTTCCCTGAGAACGACACTTCAGTAAACACAGACGAGGTCATGCTTGAAAAGACCACAACAAAGACATTGAATAAAGTAAAATATTTTTATACTTAAATTTTTATACCTATCCGAAATCATTATAAATATAGTCCAGCGTTAGCAAAGTTACTAACTCCCGCAAGAGGAATACCTACCTACTATGTGTCACCAGGGAGTTTACAGACACTTATGAAACCGACACAAAGAACATCCAGACTCAGAGCAACAATTTGTGGAGCACACAAAGTGTTGTCGCATGTGGGGATCGAGACAACAACATTCAGAACAGTAGGAAGCGGCGAGGTGACCCCTTAAACCACTACGCCATCCGTGCAGTGGCTGATGTTGAGAAATGGAATTCTAAGTGGATTCTGTTAAGTTACCTATAAAACTAGGAGATTCCTCCGACCAGGCTAGGTCATCGTGCCTAGCTCTCCGGTTGCGGTTGTTGTTTCGAAATTGTAAATAGTATAATACACCATAACCATATTAGAAATTCGATTACACGATTCAGGTTCATTACGTACTACGCAGTTTATCACGTCTCCACTAGATGTCGTAAAAATGTGATTTTGGAAATGTACCTATGTCCCCATAATGTTTATTTTCCTCATTATTTTTAGACTACCTCAAAGTTACATACCAATAGTAAGACCTTAAAGTACAAAGATTTTAAGAAGAGATGTCCTGAAACTGAAGTGCACATGAGCTTGGGTAGTTACGAAATACCAACACATAGAGATCTCGTGTTGTTCACAACTAGGACTTTACTGAAAATGTTTAATAGCTACCATGAAAAGGCTCTATTTCTGCTTAAGGATATTAAAGAGGTACGGTACCCGTCGCTTTACAGATTCACATATAAAATCTTCCATCGCTTTCTCTACTGATGTTTAGGATTGAGCAGATGTTTTATTACGTTATTAAATTAATGTATAACATTAAAAAATATTTCTTATTTAAACTTGTAACCTGTTTAATACTTAGGTAGGTAAGTATCGCCAGTGGTAAAATGTATATACTATACTATACTGTCTATACTTGCGAAACAAATAGTTAGACTATCGCAATCAAATTTCAATTTACTATAGCAGTTTAAAGTTAGTGTTAAACTTAGTGTCAGTGTATCTAGGCAAGTGTGACTCGGTGTGTGTGTGTGTAATGTGTCTTGGTGTGTGTGCGTTCATTTAGGTACGTAGAGCTGTCTGTTTCTGCAACTTGTATGTTAGTAGACCAGAGTGCCTTCTGGTGTCATTATAATGTAATTTTTCTAATGACACATGCTCTATGATCAGGAGAGACGGAAGGACAGACTGAGGATTAAGCCAAGAAAAGTTCTGATACTTCAGAAATAAAAATTTTGAGACGTGTAAAAACTATCTATGTTTTATTATATAGTCATTCTTTATATAGTTACTGTATTCATGATACCAACAGATTTAAAGACTTAAGTTATTAACTTTCCTGATCTGCAGGCAACAACGGCTTCACGCGATTATGAAAAGAAATGTGCACCCAGAAACAGGAAGTCCTACAAAAAGTGTGTACAACGAATCAGCAAGAAATGCGTATTGATCATCAAAGACTTAGTTAAATCTATGGAGACGAAGAAGGAAGCAGTTGCTTCTTTATTAAAGGTAATCGATATACTTAAATAATGGTATGGCAGGTACTATGTTGCTAATATAAAAACTTGCCAAACAAATATGTAGCAGATAGGAACTAGAAGCTAGATTGAAAACGAGTTTGCTAATAGCTAACTTTATTACGCTGAGTTATTTATAGAAATAGCCATAATAAAACTTCGGGTATTAATTTTCATGATAGTTTATGTTTCAAAGATTTTTTATGGGCTTTGAATTTTTTTTCGGCAAACACGCATAAAGAAAAGAAAAGAGCGTACCTACTCCTTCCTAAAAGGCCGGCAACGCGTTTGTGACTCCTGAATTGCAGACGTTTATGGACGGCGGTAGTCGCTTTCCAGGTTCCTATAACAGGTTTTTTTTTTCATTCAAAAAGTTCCAACATGAATATATAAGATATCTATGTTGTACGTATATACACAATATATGTTTATATTTTATATAGTTATATTATCAATGTATTTCAACCCAAACTCAATTCGCGTGTAAAAGGGGCCAATATATGTAAATACTTATATACAGAGGTGTCGGTAGCGGTAACAGTGTCGCGAGTTCCCATCTCAAAAAATACATTCTTTTGCCTGTTGTTCAAAAATGCCCCACTCGCCTTGAGAAGTATTCACTTCAAAAACTCAACACCGGTTTTCTATGAGGCCGTGGTATTACTGCGGTCGAGACGCCCCATTTGTGCTGAAGCATAGCTCTCCCACGGTTTAGTGGTGCTAATTACATAAAATATATGTTAGGTAGGAAAATACGTCATTTTTTTTCTTATAAAAGTCAAGGTCTACTCAACTGTATTAAATATACCTACTTACGTAAAAAAATACCTTCGTAAGAGAAATCGACATAAGTTTGACAAGTTTCCGTTTTCTGTTTCTCTTTTGGTATTTAGTATTCAAGATCTCATGCAAATGCCGATGATAAAATGATAAATGCATATTATGTTTATTTTTATCAATAGGGCGCAACGTGCAACATGACGACAATGGCGACCGACCCAATACAACTAATTAAAATTCTAGCCGTGGAAGAAGCCTCACTGGAATTTGCCTTACCAGCCTTTTTAAGATTAATGGGCGAATGTTCTGCGCATTGTTCCAAGTATGCTGTTTTTGATTACAACTAGTATTAATTTCATGTACACTAGAATATGTTTAAAAATATTCATTTTGCAGGCAATTAGAAGATGGACGGAAAGTTCGTCGTCCATCACGGCACATGACGGATCAAGATCTAGTTGTAAGACATTTTCTGACAAACAAAAACTACATCCAACTTATCATGGACTCCGACTTGCATGTGTAAGGATCAAAGAATGCAGCTCTGTTAAACTGGATGCATTCCGCACATTCGTAGGCAGTGAACGCACCCACTATGATCGATCGAGCTTTATTGATTTTTGCGTGCCTTACGCTAGATGTCGCTAGCATCAATGAACTTTTGACGTAAAGTATGAACTTGATTGGAACTTAAAATAACTTAACCAAAATATTCTAAGCTTTTATGTGATGTGAATAGTGATATCCGTGAGAATATATTACAAAATAACAACAAATTATAACACAATGTGTGAGAGTTGTATATGTTTGATATAAATGTTTGAACTATGTATCCTGGTTCCAACTTTGAACTTCTATTATTGAGGAATTTTTAAGCTAAGGTATGTGATGTTATTTACTATAACAATAAATCGTTTTTATAGAATATACGCGTGCTTTTAACTTAAGTCTTAGTGATACTTTCTAAAATCACTCATGACTTAGCAATTTTAGAAATAATTGTTCGGCGAAAGTTACGTACCCTACTTTCTAGAGCGTGCAATAACAATCATTTCTACGTAAACAACACTCATTATATCAAAAACGTTTTACTTAAAATAGATGAATTCCGAAGTTAAACATCAAGTGAGTTAGTGAAGTTATCATCAATTGAAATTTTTTACACTGATCACTTCATCTAACTTAAAAATAAAGGTAAATTGTAACCATAATAATATACCTAATATCCGCAAGTACTTACAAAGTAAATGAGATTGTCTATTGAGGCATAGACAATGATAAAACTCCTTACATACTTTAATTTACTTTAACAAAAGTATGTAGCAACATCTCAAAGTAATATTTTTAAATAATAAAACTAGTTTCATTTTGTCATTTGTTTATAGGAGCAAGCTTTAGCTATGTATTGTACAAATTAATATTTAAACTCACAACCATTTAACTTACCTTGCAAGTATAGAACAAACTTTAAAATTAAAATATAATATTAAATATCTCTAGGATTTTTCTTTTAAACAGATATTGAACAATTAAATATAAATATTTAAATATTCTACCACATTCACACAACGCCATCTAGTCCCAAACTAAGCAGAGCTTGTACTATGGGTACTAGACAACTGATATAAATATATATATATATCCTTTTTTTTGTAAATACATACTCATTATACATAGAGAAACACTCAGACCAAATCAAACATTAAATGTTCTGAACACAAATTTTTGACTAGAGCGGGAATCAAACCCGCAACCTTTGGAAGAGCAGTTCGTAACGCAAACCCCTGTCTAAGTAGCAGATAATTATATAGTCCAGTATCACTACTTTATAATTTTCTTTCTTCTAACATGAGAGTGTGTATGTATAACATACCAAGTGTATTTTTAATAAATATATTTCTTTCTTGTCTTTCTAAATGGCTCAATGCTCTTCAAACAAAATAATTTAAAATATAAAAATGATTATTAATGCAACATTTAACATAGGTAGAATGCAATGAAAAGCCTGGGATCCCAGGACAATGCAGGGATTATCTATTATATGTATGTATTTAGATATAAGTATGTTTACAGCAGTCTAGTTATCATAGTACACACTCTGCGTGTACCATAGTACATAGTATGGTACACGCAGAGTGTGCACTCTGGTTTGGGATGCCCTAGTTTGGGATGAGATGGTTGTGTGTGAGGTATGTGAGGTTGTTATTATTATTATTTTAAATGATTGTCCAACATGGTGCTGCCATATTTTAGGAATATAATGTTTAGCCGAAGAATAGTTGAATTACTTGAATAGATGGATTGAAAAGTAAATATTTTATTACATTTTTAACTTATATGTTTTTTTTACTAGCAAAACTAGACATGCCATTTTCTAAACGAAATTTCTATAGTTTCATTCATGTTGACAATTGAAACTTGTTACAAATTATAAACACAATTGGGAATGTTCTCGAATCAACAATTTGATAAATGATGACTTAAATTTTTTTGCTTTACTTGTAAATCTATGAATTTAGTTGTAGTTCCTTGATTGTTTGTAAAGGGATATGCTGCTGTTCTTTCCTTAATCAAGCCCTTTTAGGCATTTTGCCATCCAATAGTACCAGTATAGTACTTCTGCTATAGGCTTGGAGTGGTTGAGAGGTCTTTATCCCAAATTAGTGCTGAAAAGGGTCCAGATGTAATAATACCTAGTGAAACCTATGCCTAGATTCACTTATTTTAAAATGCCTATATTTGATTTAATAAAATCACATATAAAGAAATATTTTAATTCTGAACTTAGTGATGCACAGTAAGAGATTGCAATATATGTACTCTCTCAACATAGATGCATTAAAGCTCCAAAACACTTGACAGGGTTAAAACCACATCAATGTAGAAGTTTTTTTAAAGTATGATCTATATTTCGTACTTCCTCCAACATGGAAAACCCCTAAGGCCATATACACATGCATTGAGTGTCATTCTGTGGTTGTTTACTAACTTTGAAAAGTAATTTGAACTATAGGATATATATTAGTAACTTTAAAATACTTACTAACAAATTAAATTCTACTACTATAAATACTACTTACGAATTATTAATAAAGGAAACAATAGCTAAAATTTTTATACTTTGTTACATTTTTTTTGTACATATATTTTTGATTGCGGGCAGCACAGGACTGGTTGTTGTGGGGAACTATGAGGAGGCCTAAGTGCAGCAGTGGATGTCTTTCACCTGAGATGATGATGATGATATTATATTGTTCAACATAAAACATATTACTGGATTGACACAATCTATTGTGGCTGTAATTCTCTATCCATACTGTTCCTAACACAATCTGTCTTTTGTTTGTAAAAAAAAACATGTAATCAGTAAATTTTTACTTTATTTAAGAATATAATTGATGTTTCAGTACTTAAACTAAATGGTTAAATGTTAAACTTAAAAGTATACTACCTATTTTAGTCAGCCTTAATATTTTTTATTGCAGTATGCTTAGTTATTGCTGTTTGTGAATGTGTAAAAGAGGAAATAACACTTGGATATTAATAGAAAAGGCACTTCTAACCTTCTAACTTCTCAATAGAAGTGGTTATATTTTAAATTTATACTGCAGTTAATACAATTGTTTCATTAGTTGAGTCCGAGTGACTTATCACTCCAGTTACACCCATAAGGTACCATTTTCAGTAACAATATAAAGAAAAGAAAAACTATAATATAATTATTATAGTCAGTATATAAATTTACCTAATTTTTGAACAAGTTTCAAAATGTTTATAATTAGCTATAAAACAATATCTGGTAAAATTAACTAAAAGCCTTCAAATATCTGGAAGAATCTACCTACTATCACTTATTAGAATTAATTTACAGAAAAATGCCTAGTTTGGCCTGTATCAAGTTTTGTACATTATGTTCAACCAGAATGGATGCTAAGTCAGACATTAACTATCATCATCTATTTACCATGATAATCGGCAGCAGTTCTACCAAATATGGTGCAGTGAAACTGTTAAAAACTAAAAACATTAACTTTAACCTTATTACAATAGAATTAAAATACTTAAAAATTAGTTATAAAGTAACAGTTATTTTCTTCGAATTTTATGTTCTTTATGGGATTTCTTAGATTTTTTACTTCGCTTTTTGAGTTTCTTTCCCCTATTGTCATTTGAGTCACTGCTTGTTGATGTAGTTGATGATGATGATGTAGAACTGCTTGTGGATGAAGTGCTAGATGACCTGCAATAGATATATAATATTCATAAGCTGTTTTTTATCAGGTTTATATCACTGATGAGATAAGCCAGAATAAATGTCAGTGTTAATTATAATCTCATGAATTATCTATTCTGACATACAAATCTTGTTGTACCAACAAAACTCATTAATAAAAGAAATTAATGACATGCTTTCAGTGTTACAGCTGGTAACATTTCTAGCCTTAAATTTTATACTATCTCAGCTTCACAGTACACACAATATGCATATTCATTAAACATAGTTCATTACAAAGCATGCCTCCTTTATAAACCCTTATTTTGAAAAACAAGGGTAGCAATTTTTAAAGTATTAAATATACTGGAATAGGGTTTAAAATGATGATTATTTATGTACATACCTAGATCTTTTCTTCTTTTTATTCTTCTTTTTGTCCTTGGCCCTCTTCAACTTCTCCTGCAGCTTCTGCCTCAGCTCTGCTTCTCTAAGTCGTTGTAGTGGAGTAGCATATTCCTCTTCACTGTCACTACTTGTACTACTGATATCTAGGACTATCTCCTTGTTTGGATCCACCTAACAAAAGTGTAAAATATGTTACATTATCAATTCATGTCCTCGAAGCACATTACTTTTCGAACATTTCAATCAAAATAAATCATCATCATCATCATCAACAGCCTTTAATAGTCCACTGCTGGACATAAGCCTCTCCTTAGAAAGGAGGTTTTGGCCTACTATACCAAAATAAATACCACAACATAATAGAACTGGATGAACTACGTACTAAGCGACTGGTAATAATTATTATGGCTTGAGAAACTTGATAAACACTGATTAAGGGAAAAACACAACTTCAAAATGTTAAATATATAACATAATAACTTTAAATTACCTTAATGAAGTTTCTGCATTGAAACGTAAGATGTCCAGCATAACCACACTTTTTACACGCAGATCTCGACGCCTCCTTACCGTATTTATTCACCAAATCAGCATAGTTTGACATTTTTTTATTTAAGATATATTTTACAAGCACAAATCAAAAACTAGTAGATAAAAATAAGAGTACCAAACACAAAAATAACAAAATTATCTAGTCGTGAAACGTCAACATGCAAAAAATGACGTTCCGTTTCTTGTTGATGTAACGCGTGGCATATTTTTTAACTACTCAAAAATTTACAGTCCTCGAGAAAACAGCGAAATATAATCTCTACTTTGTCTAATTAATATTTTCAAAGTTTCCAACTTTTTTATGTCTAGTACCTTTTAAATAGCAGAAAATTTTAACTCAAGAAATGAAATGTATATTTCTCAGAAATTATAAGTACTTAGAACTAAACGTAATGGTGCGAGCGTTTCGTTACATTCATACAAACACTTAGAAGTTTACGTTATTTTAAAAATCAATTTATCTTTTTCAGCCAATGAAGAAAAACAAGGAAAATATTCGTAGAAATATAAACAAATAAAAGAAATGTGTGGAAATGGCCGAGTTCCTGCCTTTGTGCGACGTGCTTTTCAATGTGATCTCATTGGCTGGGTATTTTTGCGACGTAGTGTTCGACGTCGTGATGGGCTATGCACTCTTAGAACGAGGCTATAAGGGCACGTTTGCAGCTGCCATATCTATTGTTATCACGTCGCTGCTTATATCACAGGTATAAACTTCTGCAATAAATTTCTAAGAAATAAAGATCTTTTACCCCTGATTTTATCTTAAGGTTATGATCAAATAAGAAGATCAAAGACGCCCAGACTATATTTCTTTATCACCCACTCATTGAATATTTCCACATAGATACTGGCAACGGATGAATAAAACCTTAGAAGTATTTACTAGTGGCATTTTATATACTTAATATTGGCGTAATTTACCTCCAACTGCATGAAATATCGTGGTTGTTTGGGGAGACTTGCTGGGGAGTTTGTACAACCGCTTCTTCCCACCTAAAACACTAGAAATTGGTGACTGGCTAGGCGTTTAATACCTTTATGTAAACAACGACATCCGAAAGGTGCTGGCATTCAGGCTAATTTGAAAAAATTACTTGATTTTAAGTACTTTCGATCATTTTCGAAATTCACCAATACTTGTATTAAGTTTGACGATATTTTACCTAAAATCTTCGTTTCACTGAAAAGATCCGTTGTTGATACCTTCCATCCTCCCGAGAGCTATTAAAGGCTAGGCCCACTAAACTTACTTCAGAAGACGATAACGTATTACCATAACATGCAAAATCTAAATCAATTTAAAAAAGTAAAACTGTTCTTATAGGTGCTTTCCCTCCGGTGGTATCTTCACGTGTGGTGGGCAGGCGAGGGTCGGAAGGGTCGGCCGCCATGGTTACCTATAATGCTGCACTGCCTACAGCTAGGTGTGTTATGGCGATATGCAAGATTGTTGGTGCCCGTGGAACTGCGCCGAGTAAAACATCAAGTGAGGGATTTATGTGAGTATACTTCTTTTTTACTCGAATTCAATGTCTCATAGTTATACTCCTGCCCAGTGCCCAGACTACAACATTGAATCCAAGTACAAGTAGTAGTTCAATAATTCTAAGGTCGTATGTAATAGGTATTAAAGTGATTTTACGAAATACGTTTTTCCACAGGTATGTTGCGGCTAGTGCATGCGTTCTGCGAAGCTGCGCCGATGTTGCTACTGCAGCTGCACATTTTATTCAAAGACGCAAGTCGGGAGCAAATTAACGAACTCGGCGTCACTCCAGACCCCAACATAGATGAGCCTGCCGGTATTTTTTTTTGCTTACTACTATGACAACGCTAAAAAACTAGTCTCTGAAACCGCCAGTCAGACTTGAATTATTTTGCATAAGGAATCCCAATTTTTGAGGAGATTACTGCCCTTAGGAGCGAAGAGTGCACATAAACATGAAAGGAGGTGGAGGAACGAGTATTTAGTCTCTCTAAGATACAGGGTGGATCCTGCAACTAAGCAAAGTTATCATGCCTGGCGGGTCGCGGCCCAGCGTTTAATATTTTTGTCTCATGTATGGTTGTTGGCCTCAGATGGCCTCTACAACCTTGCACCCGAGGGCTCTCAACCGGTCTTAATTAAGTATCATCGCCCAAGGGCATCCCCTGTGGGGTACTTACCTCGGATTGGAGCGTTACTGGCAAACTAGGGCGACCAAGACCCACATTTATAAAGTTAACGCGGCACGTATTCCGTCCCCGGTGGCGGGGACACTGGCTGTGCACACTCGATGCTGAGCGAGTGTGATTGTGTCGTCTAGCTCTTCTAGAGCATGTTTAGATCTACGTATACATGAAATGGTACTGATTGTGTAATTTACAGCCGCAACCACTAGAGGGTTGGGGTGAGTCGAAACAGAGTCAAAGTAACTAAGAAAGCAGTGTTTTATGAATTACCACATGGTCGGCAATTTTAGATCGCCGCCCGACTAAGCCCGGCGCATGAAGCTATTTTGTTTTTAAGTTAGACGATCGTCAAGACCTAGATATTTGGCCTGCCTGACCCAAGTGATAGGCGTGGCAAAAACCTTATCTGTGGGTTGCCCAACGTTTGATGTTGGGAAGTTGTATATATACTAATCGCCGCAAGAAATTCAATTGCGCGATGCAGAATTACTATTTACCTACTACAAAGTGCGTGCCGCATCGTGAGACACGCTAGTATTATTTATAAAATGCAAATTACTTTTCGACAAGAAAGCAATCGAATTGAGACAAAATACCAATCGAATTGAGAACTCCTCCTTTTTGAAGTCGGTTAAAAATACAGTAGTTTAGAGATCAACGTTCTTATTTTCTTTACAGCAAACAAGGCGTTTGCGGAACTAAACGTGATTTCGGCATCGCTGTCTCTGTTCTCCGTGTGCTGGGCTCTCGCCAGCTTCAGTAAAAATGTGCGACTGCAGAACGTGCACCGACTCGTCCTCACGTGGCTCGGTGTTATATTCCAGGTAAGATTTAAAGAAATCGACATTTACAACATTTTCCGACCATTTTTCCAAATATATTTAGGGTCGGTTTCTTTTACATTGGCCGACTACTTTCTGACGAAAAAGAGAAGAAGATATATAATGAGGTACGGATAACAAAATATGGGGCAAGGATGCAAAGGTAAGATCGGAAACGGGAGCGAGATTTTATATGCTTGAAGAAGCAGGAGTCTCGCAGCCATCTTGTAACTGTAGGCGTCAACAGGACAGTTTATACTTTTCTTATAAAAGCAAAAAAACAGTGATGAATCCGAATGGTATCTTGTTGTTATAACTTGTCTGTCAACCTATTCTTAAAATTTATTTTTTTGTGCAGTTCCTATGGAGGCTGGGTACTATATCAGCACGGATCTGCGCTCTCACCGTGTACGCTCTAGTCTATGAGTATTGGGTTTTCTTAGTTATAGGTAAGTTTGGTACTGGTTACTATTTAAAAGCTCTGTGTATAAGAGCAGACAATAAGGAATATCTAATACTTCAAGCATACTTCGGAGGATAAATCAAATAAATATCATAACTTAAGACAATGCCCACGGCCTAATGTGAAACCACACTGCTGGTAAACATACGTGTATAGTATGCATAAATATTATATAAAAATTACACCCAGATACAGAACAAAATAAATGATCGTGCCCATTATACATTTATTTGCATCGTATGGAAATCCATCCTACGATTTCTAGCTCAGCAGTCCGGATCATCACAACTACTAGGTGTAAGTAGGAAAAATAGTCGAAATTAAGTGACTAGCTAATTCCACTAGTTTGTAAACCACCGGTAATATTTAGTAATATTTAATACTACTTACGTCTATTTGGTTGTATGTAATCTAAAGTAGGGTAATAAAAATGATTTAACTGTAGATTAACAACGATCATGACAAAAAAATATTGTCGTAAATATATTCGAAAATCCACATTATAAAATTTGTTTGTTTAAGCTATTTGGTTATCTTTACGCTAAAGAAATATTTGCTAGATTTCAAGCTCACGTAGTACTTGTTCTATTGCAGGTCTTCACTGGCTCTCCATGTTCCTGTGGCTGATCTCCCCGAAGAATGTGTTCCACGGCGAGCGCATCAGTCGTCCGCGCAAGGCGTATCTGTCCGCGCTCATCGCCTTCGTCTACGTTTTCGCTTATGTTAACTTGCAGGAGCTTAATCACAGACAAAAAATGGTACGCCTTATCCATAGGTTAAAAAGAAAATGTATTTTATTATGTTTATAGAGTTCTCTATCTCATACAGTGAATCAATAGCGGCTGTAGATCAAAGTCTGTAAGTCTTTTAAAACAACATCCACGATTATCTAGTCCATTCGCTTTAAGAAAATAGTGTCGCATCAATCAAACCCTTTCTGACAAAACGGTTCCTACGGATGCAACAAAACGAGAGGAAATATTTGACTCGTCAAAAATATAAATGCAGGAATATAATTGGAATCAGATAGAATTAGAATGTGTTTAAGTGATTAGATTTTTTAGAAACAAACACAAGCATTAAGAAGATGGCTAAATAGGTCGGAACGTATGTTAAGGAGTATGTACGTATGGGCAGGTGACGTTCTACAGCGTGATGTGCGTGGAGAACTGGCTGCTGGTGGTGGCGTGGTGGTGGTCGGGCCGCGCCGCGCGCCCCGCGCCGCTCGCCGCCGCCGCCGCCGCCAGCTTCAGCGCCGGCATCGCCTTCATGCTCCTCTACTACAGGTACCGCCACGTATTGCTGTACCCCCGGGGTCCTCACCTTACAGGAGCGAGAGCCCCGATCTTGCAATATATCTACCTGTCTCTTTCTAGCCGAACTCCGTGGTTCGCTGGGGAATATGAGGGGTTAATGAGTAGCCAATCGCAGCTTAGATGAACAGAGACAGAGGGAAATATAGGGCCAGGAATATTCATCTCTCGTTGCCTATCACTTACAGGCAGCTGTACCCCGTGTTCTCTTTATGCTTATATCTCCATGGACCTCACGATACACATGTAGGCATCGGAGATTTCATATTAAAAGACCAATGTGCTTGTGTCATTACATTAAAATAATAATAACTTGACATATCTCACATCCCATCTTCTGATCCCAAATTAGGCAAAGCCTGTGCTATAGTAACCATACTTCTACATTTCTAAATGCACACATACTATAGGCAAATTACACCCAGACAGAACCAATGATTATGTTCATCAAATATTAAATGGGAATCGAACCTCCGACTTAGCGGTCAATATATAAACTAACAGGCCAATCAATAAGAAGAAATATTATGTATTTAATTATTATTCCAGATACTTTCACGTTCGGAGATTAGGATATATGTTGGGCGAACATCAGCAAGGAACAAACAGTACCAACACATCTTCACAAAATAAAGATGGTAAGTGATTATCAGCAGCAGTAGTAAAGAAAATATCCAATAAATAATATGAATCCAAATAATAATAAACTCAAACTCAAAATGTTTTTGTTTCATAAAAAAAATTGAAATCGTCTCTTATGTAGACTCTAAAGTCAAGACTCTAGATCAACAGGCACAATAGCAACAATCTCTGTTTTGTCAAATATTTAGTAGAAAAAATATGAACGTGTGGTGTCAGATTAAGAATACGGAATGTCACCACCCCTATTCATCCCGTGGGTGTCGTAAGAGCCGATTAAGGGAGCAAACTACGAAGGACAACAGCACTACAATCCACACCTTGGATCAGTCTTCTTTGCGTATATTTTTTTTATTAGCCTTTGCAAAATCGCAATTTATTAATTATTTATCTTAAAAAACTGCTTCTAGTACACACTACTAAACCTACATTTTGTCGTGATATTATTCGTTGTGTTCTAAATTGCAGGTAAACAATCGAACCAGGCCGACAACGCGACGATCCCAGGCGTGTTCAACTGTCGGTTCTCAAACCCCGTGACGAGCAGCGCGGCCAACGGTCGCAAGAAGAAGAAGCCCACATCGTTCGTGCCCCTCCCTCCTCCCGCGGCGCCCCCCCACCCCGCGCCGCAGCCCGCCTTCTGGCGGAGGCCACTGCCCGCCGCTCACAATCACCATGTAAGTGTTTTGCTGCAAAATGGATGTACACCAATAGTTTATAGTTCACTGCAAATAAACGCACCCTACCATATTACAACACTTCACTTACACTACGGCAGCAATTAACAATTTCTTTTTTCCTTTTTATTTTTTATATCTGAAATCAGCCCTTTGAATCAGATTTGAACGTCTAGAGTCAGTCTCTATATTTTTCAGAGTTATACTGACGCAATTCGCTTTCTTTTGAGTCTACATGTAGACTCTGAGGACTAGTAGTGTCACAGCTGGTTCATTTTTGTGTTGTAGAGTTATTCTTTATAGTTTTTGTAAGACTTTTCTATAACCTCCTTCATCATCATCATCACATCAACAGCCTTTAATAGTCCACTGCTGGACATAGGCCTCTCCTTAGAAAGGTTACTTAACTATGTACTTATTTACAATTATCAACAGTTAAGTAAAACCTAAGTAGGTTTTACTTAACTGTTGATAATTGTAAATACTCATGCACTTCAACAATTAACAATGATGACATATTATTAAATTTAAAGATACTCTTACCATTAAAAGAAATTAGTTCAATTTGTTTTTTACATTATTGCGAGTTTTTTTTCGGTTAAAACCTAAAGTATGAGTGGGCTATGTAGTAGATATACTCCTAGTGCGGGAGTAGTATTTTTAAAGAATAGAAAAAAAAGTAAATTCTCATCTGACACCACCAATCTCAACTCTAGTTGGACCGCCTATCCAATGTGTAATAGTAATATGTATATAAACCTCACTTGATCAATAGATAACCATCTTTGTACAGGGAGGCTCATCAGAGAATGAAGGGTCAAGCGTCGGCTCGCGCGTTAACATCCAGCAAAAACTTCAAGAGAAGAAACAAAAGCAACTTGCCGAGTTACGTGTCATAGAAGAAGAAATCAAACAGGGCAAACTAGCCAAAACGACTCCAGTCGCCGCCGAAGAAATATACAGCAGTTTACAACGACAGCCAATACCGAGAGCTAAAACTCACGCGGAACCCCCGGCTTGGCCTAGCATAGAAATGACCCACTCGTATCAAAATTACCCTGTGTGTAGCATTTACCCTACGTATACAGAAATTAAACCAGACTTCAATATTAACTTCCAAAGTAGCGAAAACCCTCAACAAGACATGAACGATCCACTAAAAATGCGAAGATTACCAAACAGATACGACAATACACGAACATTTTACGAAAACCCGGCCAATATGAGAAGTGACGTCACAAGAACGCCATTAGGGTCACCTAATTACCTCGCTTTAAATGAAAATAGGAGTTATGATGCGAATGCATGCGGTAGTCCTAGAAATGTTTTAAATAATAGTCCCAGGACTTATATGCCTGATGTCAGTAATAACTACCAAAGTGGGCTAGATAAACCTAGAATAGCTCAAAGTTCTATATACTCTGAAGATCATAGACAAATCGGCGAATATTCTGGTTACTGCGAAGGTAATCAGTATTCGAAATATGAAACTAAAGACGAATATGTGTCTGCATTACACAGTGCTCTCCACGTACAAAGTATAGACAACGTAAGGAATAATTACGACGTTTGCGGGCAGTACAGTCAGAATTGTGAGAGGTTCCAATACCCAGGTCTTGCTAGCAAGAAGATGGAACAGATGAGGAAAATGCAGAGGTGTAGGACGCCTGAGATTCTGCTTGCTCCTCATTATTTGGAGGGGTGTAATCGACAGGTGTGCTGTCACTGGGGAGCACCATATACGTACGTTATTTTTAAATATACCAAGATTTTACTTGGGCCTGTAGCTTTAAAGGTACATATAATTAGTTAGATTGGTCTTAATTGTAAAAATTATAATAAAATTAAATGACGGATTATTTATGAGGTGTACGTCGCCCCAGTGGAAAAAGTTCGAATTTAATTATTTGAGTTTAACAGATAATTAGTGAATGACGTCGTGTAATTGTTTATGGTAAGTAAAAATTTGTGCATCCAACTATTGGAGAGTTATTCACGAAAAACTGTTTCCGTTGGGACAACGTTTGGCATTTGCTAGATTTCATATAAAACGATTTTCTAGAGCTGTAGATTTTTTCAGTTATTTTGAATTGTTTATACTGACTGATAATTTACCATGACTGGACCACTCTGTCATATGTAGTCTTATTGCACGAGATTCTAAAGGAAACACGTTATATAACCTATTCTAATAATTAGTGCATTAATTCAACTATGGACATGTAAAATTTCGAGATTAAGACATTAGGTCGCTTGCTTTTTTTTGCAACTACTGTTTCCAGCGTATTTGGTTAATGCAATACGATTCTTAAAATAGAAATATTTATGACAAAACAGACAGAATCATTTTTTCTTGAATAACTCCCCGCAATGGTTGTATGCACAAATTTTTACTTACCAAACACAATCACGCGACTAAATATCTGTTACTCAAATAATGAAATTCGAACTATTTCCGCTGGGAAAATGCATATATTTATAAGTTGTATATGGAGTTGTTCTTGATGATTGTAAAAATTTCACATAACTAATTATAAATATATGTCAGAAACAGGAAAAAAGAAGAGGGTGGAGCTAGTAGCGGTGAAGAATCAAGCCCCGATGGACCAGCGAGGGAGACGCCACGCCCACCCAGCGACATCGATAGCCAGGTGAGAGATCAGTTCTTAATCCCACATTCATATTACACGGTATTTTTAACAAACTATAGATTTTAATGTTTTTTATTGTTTTATTGGTGCCGATGAACTTTTTATGTTTTATTTATGCAAACAACGTACCGACCACAACATATAGGTACCTATTCATAAAAAGGCCCTTAGTATTTTCATTATAGTACTACAAGTGAATAATTAATGTTTCTCTATAAAACTGAACCCATAACTTTTTTGTAGATATCTCTTCCTCGCTCGTACACACTACCGCGGGAGTTTAGATATTGGCGACGAAGACCGCGACTAAGAGACGCACATGTACCCAGCAATAATAGCAGTGATGGTAAGACTTTTATCTTATGACGACTAGTAATATTGTAATATAACATATTGTAATTGGTTTAATTGGTAAATTTATCAGAAAAGTCAGTCAGGGACAGTCTGTCCAGGCGAGAGTCTAATTTATTGGATCAAGTCCCAAAATTACGGGGGAATATTGTCATGTCTACTTAGGTTTACTGTCTCAGAAGGTTTCATAATACTTAGTGATAAAAATTAGTATAGGAGAACTGAAGACGTCGTTGTCATTGCCGTTGCCAGCCAGACCACTAAAAGGAGTACGTCCTACCCAGAAATCTGTCTTCCTCATAAACAATTAAATGCCAAGGCTGACGACTCGGAAGTATCACGTATGTTTTGTTCGCAGGTGACGTGGACAGCGGTGACAACGACAGCGACCGCCGTTCGAACTGTTCGGCAAGCTCGCAACTACAAAGCCCAACGTACGACTACTACCGCGCTGACGTGGTGCCACGGGACGAGGGGCTGTATGCATCCGCCCTCGGGCCTGCGCTGCCTCTGGGCGTAGCGGCGGAGCGCCGGCCGCGCCGCGGGCCACACGTCACGCACGCGCCGCACAGAAAGCAACCCATCAAACCGGAGACCAAGTTATAGTTGCAACGAACATTAAGTAACATTACGTATTTACTAGTTTGAAGACTGCAACACGCTCAACGGTTAACACGCTCAACGGTTGCAATAAAGGAAAAGGGCTAAAAAGCTAAAGTGCTAAAGAATTAAGACCTCGAAAGTACAATGTTTGAGACATGATTTGTTAGTTAACAATATAGTAAATCGTGTAGTGATTTTTTGAATCTCAAAAATTATATAGGTGAAGCTGTGCTTTTTGTACAATATGAAGCTGGTAGCATAGCTGCTTCGAATATTAACGTATAAAAAATGTCCCAATTTAAAAATTGTAATAACTTATCATAAAAAGAATTTATATTTTTTTCATTTAGTACACATACCCATTAAGTAGATAATTATGACAATAAACTTTATAGGTCGCCTCTACCTTGTACCAAGGTAATATAACTGTTGGTAGTAATAACTGTTAAGAAGAATGCCTAGTACTTCTTGAAGTACTCTTCAAGAAGTACTAGGCATTCTTATTAACAGTTTATTATTACAAAATTGTGTAGTAAATCTAGATAACATTATATTTGCTGTCGTGTTTATAATTTTCAGAAGGGACAAGTGGTCGATGTCTATTATTTTGATGTTACTAAAGGACGACAAATCTTTCCAATGGTAGGGTCTTAAAAAATAAAACAGACAACATATTAACTTATATAATAATATTTCTTATTATACTAATATTTACTGTTGTGTTGTGGATGTGCATGCAGATGCACTGTCGAAGCTGAATTATACATAAAAGGTATTATTTAACATACGTAAGATCATACTAAATTGTACGTCATAAATCAAGTCAATCAAGTGTATTTTATGGGTTCCAATTTGAACGATGTGTCTTTTAAAAATGCACAATAAACCATTTAAATATAATTTACTAACAACGATTAAATATCGTCTATCTGCATTCCAATTAGGCAAATATTTGTATATACTAACTTTTGTAATAATCCGTCCGTAACTGGATCTCGACTTAGCTCACTAGATTGTAGTACAACTTGTAAACTACGGTAAGTTAAATGTAACATAACTTGTATAGTGTATATTAAACTAATAGACTGCGGCAAGGAAAATAAAAATAAAACAAGTAATTTCAAACTTTTATTTACTTTATTATCTATTATCCAATTGTAAAAGGGAACCAGTCACGCTATCACTCCATGTCACTACTTTGCTACAGATCTCATCCATTTACACATTTATAAAGAAACATCAACCGAAATAAGGTTAAAAATTCACAAATACACATTTAATGTTGATTAAATCTATCTTAGAATTAAAGGGCACGAGCGAGCGGGGAGGCGGGAGAGGGGGAGGTGGAGGGGGAGAGAGGAGGGAGTTTGGGCAGTGGGGCGCGTCTCCGCCCGCCCGCGCCGCTACCTACCGCACCCTTACACCTAGCGACATCGGCCACGAGTAACGTCAAATAAACAAATATCAAATGCTATGAAAGCACTTAAAATTATAAGAAGCGGTTGATCCTTCGAAAATAAACTTATACACTACTCCAATGTAACAGAGAACTGCCTGTCTATATAAGCTAAGCTCAGATTGACCACAAAAATATCTGATATGATAAATAGACGTCGATCGATTAAAAATATGTTTTTACGCATTGTACTATTGCACTAGGGGGATCGTAGGGGGGTTTACAATACAATATTGGTGAACACCGTCATATTAAAATACCAATAGATAATGTCGCATACGTGTGAACACATGTGCTGAATGTTACGCTAACTTATCGAAAACAAAGTAATTTACAACGCGGGCGTGTCCGTATGTTTCAACAAGCGATGTCCATACATACATACCGCTACTGGAAACCGGAAATTTAAATGTTTTAAAACAGTAACAGGACACTCCAGTAACTATACATATGTCTTGTCTCTTCACCGGATGTCCCAAATTGCAACTCCTGTGTATTATTTACACTTCTTAAAGTACACTTAACTGACTAATCAAATACATTAATTTTGCGATAGTGCCAACCAGCGAATGTTTCTACCACCCAAATGTTGCATTTAAAAGCTTTAATCCTGCAAAAAACAATTCTTTAACATTATAAACTAATATAGAAATTGATTCTCACAGAGGATTTCAGTAAAAATAAATGTTAACATGTGACAGTATTTTAACTTTACGAATTTTTTTCTAAACGAATTTCGTGGTATTATTTTCATGATACAAGACCATGGAATTTCATGCCATTCTCAGGTGTTAGCAACACTTAATTTGCGACATACATATATATATTAAAACTCAATAATATTACCAACGCCCTAGACAATTTTATCCCTGATACCAATAAAAAAATAATTTTGGATTTTATAAGACTAAATATTTAAAATTCTTACTTTACCAGGTGAATACATGAAATATTACTATAAATACGTAGAAGATTAATTCAGAATTTTGTTTAATCACACTCCATACCATCATGCCGATATTTCACAGAACTTTGTACAATCATGGCATACGAAAATAATAAATGATCACGCGTGAGCAAAACAAGACGGCTCAAGTGTTAGCGAGTTCTCTTACATAAATATGTACTTTACAAACTAGAACTTCCAATACACTAACAAACGTCGACATTACTACTTTTAAAGATTTATAAGGACGCGAGCTGAATCTTTAACTAAAATCGTAAACAAAAAAGATAATAAAAGAGAAAACTGTAAATAATAGAGATCAGAACATAGATTGAACATAGACGTATCTAAACATAAGGAAATTGTGCAGCAATGCCAGCTTGTTGGGGTACAAGTTAAATTTTACATAGTACCGTAAGTATTAGGTATTATTATCTATTTATCAGAAGATTAGCCTGGCCAATCACGAAACAATAAGTAACCTAACAGAATGCAAACTGCCATAAAAATCAGTAAAAAAAAAATTGACGATACACATTACTGATGCTTGTAAATGAAGTGAATTTCAATTGCTGTATACATATATTATTAATTCTCACTCGAGCCATGTGATGAATATATATCATGGTTCTCTCGTGTTACTTTAAGGGCTGAGCAGCCTCTATCTCTCTAATAACACAAAGGATGACTATAATTTCACAATCAATGGTTCATCAATTAATTTTTAAACATATGGCAGTCAGGCCGCATCTTTCTTTAATACAAAACTATATGCTTTTATGTAATTGATTAGGGAAAAAATATGCATTTTATTATCAAACTAAAACTTACAAATATAGCTAAGTATAATGGAAATGAGCTTAACACCGAGCCGCATGAACATAAGTCAAGAATGGAGTTTACGTTACAGGCACAGTAAATAAAACGACCTTATAAATCCTAGAGCTGTTTTACTTGTGTTAACCTTACGCTAATGGGAATTATTCCTACAACATAAAATTACATAGGACCCTCGTAACAACGCCGGCGAATGAAACCATCATATCTAGTGAAGGACTCACGTGTGTGATGGTATGTGGTGGTGTGTGGTGGCGCATGGTTGTGGAGCTATGCGAGTGCGACCGGCGATGCCCGCGGGGCAACATTAGTCTAAATATTTTAAGTGGTGTAGCTTACTCAACTATGTATTATGTGGCCGTGTCACGTGCTCACGATGATATGAGCTGAAACAGATAATAATTTGTCAATATTACACATTTCATGTTAACAACTAGAGTTTACAAATTCTGCAATAGATTAGACAGATAAATTAACAAAAAAACATTGTTACAAAATAACTGTGAACTCAGAAAAAACTGCAATGGTTTTAAGTAGTCTTCATATTAATTATTAATTAATAATTCATATTAATTACTTCAATATTGTCAACATAAATTCCAGTGCTTTTGCCTTCCATTACAAGCACTGAAACTGGACGGAATGACATTGAAGATTTATCTATATATTCATAAGTTATATGGTGGAATATGTTTAGTATGGCTCCTATATTGACCAGTAGGAAGTCATAACACAATGAGTTTGGTTTTTGTATAGGAGTGATATTACGGCCTCACATAAAATCGGAGTTGAGCAGTTTTTTCGTTACTTTTCACCAAGAGCCCAAACCCTTATTCTAGGGGGAGAGATTCAAAGGGCAGCTCTTGAGTAGCATGGTGTTCATGGGCGGCGGCAGTCACTAACCATTGGGCAATGCATCTGAGGCCCGAGTGCAAGTTTATTTCACATCGACTCGCTCGCGATGATGAACGCATTAGCTTTACGATTGGTGGAAATTTCAGTGCGGGCCAATCGTAGCGACTAACGCGGTCACCATGACGAGCGAGTAGGTGTGAAATAAACGCCTCTGCTCGTTTGCCCCCCTATACCATAAAAAAACACATACCTAACAAAAAAATCTTTAAATGTATTTTATATGACATCCGTTTAGTTTGATGTGTTTATATTTTCTGTTCGATATCATTATAAACGGATTTCACTGTGCGTATTTGTTGAGTGAAAACGAGGCAGCAATAGGTTTATAAAAATATTAAAAATAATCAAAATCTATAAAAACAAAAACCATGCAAAATAAAATAAGCAAAACGTCTACCTTGACAAGTTAAGCGGGTGTTTATCCATTCCACTTCGTCTTATTATTTTTTAATTCATAATATATTATTATTGTAATAATATATAACTATGTCCTTTATAATCTATAGGTATACTATGTAGACATCTACACTCCGCCCTTACCGCCTAACATCTTAAATACACTGCAACAAACAAAAAAAAATAGAAGAAAAATAAAAAATGATTTTAAAAAGGGAGTTAATAGATATTCAAACAATACATAATGTAAAGCTAAAAAAAAAAAAGGTTATAACAAAAAGGTGTATTTATCAACTATTCCTAGGACAAAGATTTGTTGATTTAAAAAAAAATGTAAGCAAAATTATCTACAAATTACGAGTTCAGTTCAAGCCAAACTTGAACAAATTTTACATATTTAATACTTCATGAATACTCATCTTTTTACGTCTTGTACGATGTATAATACTACGTCAAGACTTATTATATATTCAAATATGTACTAGGCGCAACATATTTTTCATCTACAGACACCAACCATGAATATTATAATATTCTAAACCAAAACTATTATTTACTTTTGGTTTAATGTCTAAGGTAACATGAACTGATAAAACTTTTACATTATTATAATTCATTGGTCAATCAATAAATTGGACAGGATATTGATGAATTACCTTGACCAATTACATCCAAAAAAAACTTACTACATCAAGGTGGAGTTTTTACCTGTATGGTCAGTGTAATCTATACTAATATTATAAAGCTAAAGAGTTTGTTTGGTTGGACGCGCTAATCTCTGGAACTACTGGTACGAATTGAAAAATTCTTATAGTGTTGGATAGCCCATTTATCGAGGAAGGCTATAATAGACTACATAACATCACAAAACACATCACATCAATGAAAAACGGTGCAAAAATGGAGAAAAATTATTCCTTTTGAGACACAGACGAAATTGCGCGGGTTAGGTATTGTATATCCTGTTAATCATTTATAATTATAATAATATTGTTTATTTCTCTGAAAAGGGTTAGAAGGTACATTGGTTTGTTAATATAATAGGTACAACATACATTACACCTAGTGAGAACCGGAGTTTTGTAGTAGGTTCGAAATCTGTGTGACAAATCTCCAGAGCCTTTCCTTAGTGATACAGAAGTATACAGCTGGAGTTTGAGAAACATGATAAAGTATAGATATGTACTGACCGACTTGACTGTTGCCTTGATAAAGTCCTTCTTGTGTGCAAGGTCGAACTCTGGGTAGTGGCTGTACACTTGCTTGCACACGGTCTTCATCGTAATCTGCTCTAGGTTTGCTCCTTCCAGGATCTGCTTCACGTACTTCTTTATCTCGTCATCCTATATCATACAATAGGTTGTTAGGTTATTCAAAGTCGATATTTTGGAAATCCATAACCCGTAATTCGGTATAATCTCCTTAGATAATCTTTTTTAATATATTAACAAATTAATAATTGTGATTATTTAAAATATTTGACAAACAAACAGAAGACCTACATGATAGGTTACACTGATAGTGTCACTATGTTGCCAACCAATGATCAAGAGTCAAGAGTGATCGAAAAAGTTGAATCCATTTATCTACAAAAAGTTGAGCAAAAGCTAGTATTATTATAAATCTTTAGCAATTAATTGCTTGGTAGCGAAATAATGGTCAACGGTAATTTATAGTTGCAACAGTAGAGTTATTTGAAAACAATGAACTATCTTATAACAACAGTTGTAGCATAGTTTACAAAGTAAATTATAGTATACTAACAGTAGGTGGTCGCTTGGCTTTCTTGTCAGCGGGAGAGTCGGACTCTTCACCACTCTCCTCCTCTTCCTCGCTACCCTCCTCTTCATCCTCTTCCTCACTGCCTTCTCCAGATTCTTCCTCTGATGAAGCTTTTTTGCCCTTCTTGGCTGGTCGTGCAGCAGGTTTGCTAGCAGGTGCAGCTTTGCCCTTTTTGGCTGAACAGATAAGAAACATTGAATGCTGAACACCTAAAAACGCCTTTGTAATATGTTAGTAGTTTATTTAATTGAGATAATTTAAGCGTGTACAAAAGTATATTCATTCCTAATCATAGAAGTTTAAAAAAATAGGAAGTAGTTTATGAATATGTATGTAACATGTACACAAGGATTTCTGCGTGAATTTATGTGTATGATTTATGTCCTGTATAATACTAAACCACCGATGGTTTAGTATTATACAGGACATAGTGATTAACATACCTGGGGGTGTAGGCGCTTTCCGCTTGACAGGTGTGGCCTTAGCGTTAGAGGTCTTAGCCACCACGCCCTTGCGGCCCTTGGCTACCGGCGCCGCAGGCCTTCCGCGCTTCGATTTAGGCTCCTGACGAATTAGCACACTCGTTATATTAGCGTTCAGAACAGAAACTACTTCCAAAAAACATAGTCCATTGTAACACTATCAACTTACATCAGACTCCTCTCCTTCACTTCCAGACTCGTTCTCGCTTTCACTCTCAGATTTTTCACTTTCTTCTTCACTGTCTGACTTCGCTCGTCGACCTCGGCCACCTTTACTCGGCTACATAAAAAAATTATCCAATTAATGTGTATTTATTAGAGTACCACTGCCTTCATAATGTTTATTTAAGAGTATTGGCAATGCCGAATCGATAAACTACATATATACATTAAAATAATACTGGAGCATGATAAACTGTAGTAGATAGGTGGAGCGATCGGCGCCTTACCCTTCCCTTTTTCCCTTTCGGTTTCCGTCCTCGTTTCCCGGCGGGTTTGGCGGAGGAGCGGCGGCGGCCGGTAGACTTGCGCTTGCGGCCCGGGCCCGCCGCGCCCTCGCCCGCCTCGGGGTCGAAGTCACTGTCAGCCTCCTCGGAGCCGCTCGGGTTAAACGAGCCCTGCCACATGCTCACATTTAACATGCAAAATAGGTTTAACATTTGCAAGACAGAATACATTTTATAAACACTAACAGAATAAACTTTAATAAAAATATTTAAAGGTGCTTAGTCATTCAAGAGTTGTACATCTTTTCTTTGATTTAAAGTTAAAACCGAGTGAACTCTATTTTTTACAGCTTTTAATGTACAGAAAAACAATAAATTCATATTTATGAACTTACATCTGAATCTTCTGATCCATCTTTGTTGAGTTTGGGCCCTTTGACTTTCGTCTCTGGATCGGTTTCGTATTCTTCATCGGAGTAGCCTGGACGATAATATCGATTTACTTGGGTAAGGACATGAATAGAAGTGCCACACGGTACTCTTTCGTTAAATCTGTGCAGCCTCACCTCTGTTATGCACCTTGACGGCGGCGGAGCGGCGGGGGCGGCCCCCGGCCGAGGAGGGCGGCGCGGGAGGGGGGGCGCGCGCCACACCCCGCGCGTGCGGCGAGTTGGCCGTGGGCTGCTGCAGGAAACCCACCAGCCGAGACGCCAGCTCCGACATCGAACCTGGCCGACACACAAATTTGTCACTAAGCTCTTATACCCCACTGATAAACGATCATTTGTTGCAATGAGTAATTAATAATTAGAAATTCACAACAATGTATGCAGTATGCATACGTTTAAATATGGGGATTAAATTTAAAGCTTCATTGTGTTCTATCACATTAAAAAAAATGTAGATATTATGTTACACTATTTAAACCTCGAATATGGTAAACGGCAAGTACTATGAAAGAATCTAGACCGCAGACGAACATTTATAACTTTATCTTATGCTCATTCGCCGATTCGATTCCTAAAATTGCAGTCGAATGCTACTCGATACTGTCATGATATTTAATAAAATCGTTTTGTTTATGATAGTATCCTAACAGAATGGTCATGAAACTTGGGAAAAAAGTAAGTAAAAAATAAAGTGATAAATGGATACTAGATGGGGTACTGACCTCTCTTGTCTAAATCCAACATCTCGCACATTGTGCGCAATTGTTTTGCTTCCATTTTGGTGGTCTCCTCCAATTTAGCTTTGTAATCTGAAGAGCCGATAGCCCACTCGTAACCTCTGAACTTTTTGATGTTACGTTTCACATTGCGATCCAGGCATAATTGCTGCACATAAATATATTTAATAAATAATTTAGTATGCAGTCTCACTAGGTTAACAAACAACGACAAACAAATGAGGCATTAAGTATAAGAGTCCTCAATCCTAAGCGTCATTCTATGAATGCTGGATTCAATCCAAAGTTACTTCTATGACTAATCAAAGTCAAAGTATTAAGGTTATAGTCTACAAAGATAAGGAGAGATTCAAAATAAGAAGATAGAGGTGACTATGTTTAATAATATCAGATTAAGAGACTTACCCCATATAAATACTGATGAAGGAGTTTTTGATCTTGTGTCTTAAACCGCGATAGTGATACTTCGACATTGCTAATGTGACCCAACGGAATACCTTTGCCAGCTGGGAGAGGAACTGGCGGTTCAGTGGGCTAAGGAAAAATGGAAATTTTAAACATTATAATAATACTGAGCTCTTATTGGATGGGGTGTGATAGGCGTATAATATAGACTTCAAAAAAATCATAATGATGACTTATACATCTCACACACGTACAAACCAGGCAAAGCCTGCACTATGGTGATCAGTGCTGATAATCATACTTATATTAATATCATACTTATAAACTGGACAATACAATACAATATCATACTTATAAACTGGATTACTAGTTCCATGCCTGTCATTTAATAATTTAAATGACAGACATGGAACTAGTAATCCAGTTTCTTTTGTTTTGGGTGCAAATTTAACTAATGACCTCTGGCTTTATACTCGGGATCAGGTGACTAAACCCACAGGGCCATTGAAATACAGTCAAACAACAACTTTTTTTGCATTAGATAATAGTTAAGCAACATGTTTAACCAAAGAAATAACTTATTGTTTAAATGAACTAGAAAAAGATTCAATTTACCATTATCTGGCTCACAATAAGCCAAATACGAAGCAATCTATCGACTAGATAAAGGTTGCACAACCTTAAAAACTATTATGTAGTTATATACGTTGAATTATTAAACTGGTACTACTGGAACTAATAACTTTTCATAACTATCGTAACTATTCTATTGTTGAATTTGAACAACCATCAGATCTTTATTTGGATCTTTATTATAATGGTATATAGCATATTTTTATACTTCTAAAGCTGAAACTATACACGAATGGCGTAGTCCGCAGCTCTCTTATGGACTAATAATACAACTTAATGATAGACCAACACTTTAGGCTAATTTGACTTGCATTAAATAGCAAACGTTCAGATTTCGTAACATCATGTGTGTTGACACTAAAATATCATGACCTAAAATATCATGACACATTATTGGATGATTAATAAACGCATTGCATTAAGATTTGCAGATTTTGCTGAACATATTTAAAAAAACATAAGTATTTCAGACAAATTCTAAAAAAGCTCTTTTTACTTATAAGGGGCAATCCATAAGTCGAAACGAATGTCATGGTTTCTGACCCCAACCCTGTTCTTGTCACAGCTGGTCACTTGTGTAAGATACCCCCCTCCCTAATGTGACGTCACATATTTTGTAATTTTATATCTAGAAACAATTCAATTAAAATAGCAGTTCCGAAATAAATTTTAATTCATTTTTTTTAATAAAATAAAATAAAATAAATTAAAATCAAATACATATTTTTAATCATTAGATTCATTAAAATGTGACGTCACGAAACTTAGGTTCCCTCTCAGCCCTTGTCACACTTTCAACCAACCTCCCCTTAACGTGTGTCGTAATTTGTGTATGGCCCCTACCTAAACTTCAAAAATTACACCTTTGAGAATTACCTTACCATTGACTATACATTATGGAGTTTACCTCTTTTTTAGGCTTAGGTTTGGGTGCCTCCTCCTCCTCTTCTTCTTCTTCTTCCTCCTCGTCCTCTTCTTCCTCTCCTTCTTCATCGTCTCCTTCGTCGTCGTCTTTCTTGGCTTTCTTTGCCGGTTTCTTTACTCTATGGATTTACGATTTCATAAGCATTTCATAATGAATTGTTCTTAGGGGTTACTTTTACATCGATGTATGTTTTCATATGGTTAGAAAATAAACCACAACCTTATTTTTAAAATATTTAAAAATAATAATAATATTTAAAAAAAAAAATTAAAAAAAAAAATATTTACAGAAAAAAAATATAAAAAAATATTTAATATTTACAAAAAAAAAAAATAAAAAAAAAAAATACAAAAAAAAATTTAAAAAATTTAATATTTTTTATTGAAGATTAAACTATAAGGAATTAATTATAACAAAATATTGTCAGCTAAGGTGTCAAAAAAAATGTCAAATATATATTTTACTATAAAAACCAGTTTCTCGCTTCTGGAGTTCAAACTAAAGCTCCTACGAAAAAACATTGAATATGACAAATGTGCGCAATAAAAAAAACTAAGAGAATGAACCCACAGAGAGCAAAATCGCCCCAAGTTTGCAATAAAACACATTTTTTTTGCAAAACTTGGAAAATTGATGACTCGCGTTCCACGCTGTCCGTGTGGTGTGGATTAAGAATACGGAATGTCACCACCCCTATTCATCCCATGGGTGTCATAAGAGCCGACTAAGGGAACAAACTACGCAGGACAATAACACTGCAAAGAGAAGGAATATTTGAAACAAACCCTTTTTTTTTTACGTGTGGAAATCCCCTCGGACCGTCATCCCGCCGGGGCTCTCGTTCGGAGGGGCGGTGTGTCGGACTCGAACCGACTTAAACCACACGGTGTGCCCTCTTTGCGCTTCCAGTTTAGGAGGGGTCCAGGTAGCTATCTCCTTCTGGACCCCTCCCAGTGCCGGCCCGCTCCTGATGCGGGCTCCGTCTCAGTGGACCCTCTCTTTAGGCGACGTCCGGCACACGCGGACGCCACCCCCTCGCGGCTGGCCAACTAATGCGGGTGGAGGGGAGAACCCATCCCGTCCACCCGCGGCCACACTCAGGGCGGCATGAGGCGCAGGTAGGCGCGCCTCCGCCGCCCGGTTCGCCGGCGGCGGATCAGGTCCGAGTGGAGGTCGTCCTCCCGGGCCTTCTCCGCCGCCTCCTTCTGCGAGATTACCTCCTCGCAGAAGGTTGCGACCGCGGTAATTTGAAACAAACCCTATACCAACCCGTCACCCGGGTTTGGCCTACTAGACCCGGCCAGCGTGGTCTAGTAGGCCAAACCCTCCTTTCTAAGGAGAGGCCTATGTCCAGCAGTGGACTGTTATAGGCTGTTAATGTCAGTGGGGCCAAATCCCAAAAAGATGGCCAAAAAAAGAAAAAAGTTTTTTTAGGGACCTTTTTATGTAAAGTTGGCTTAAGAGATGCCCCTTTTTTTTGTTGACGGGGTGTCAAATCCCTTCGGCTCTCCTGCTCCTCGGGGACACAGGAGCCAGCACTATGTGGTGCACTAAAAACCGACGCGACGGCCGGCCTCAGGTGTCCTACTCTGGGAGGACCCGGATAATGTTATTTCAGGTCCTCTTAAGTGATGTCCTTAGAGACCAAAACCACTATTCTTCAGGTTGCCTTTGCCATATCTTCTTCTGGAATGCAGTTTAAACGTGACCCTCTAGCGCGTAGTTAGTACTGTGTTTGGAATCGCAAGAAGACGCTAAATTCAATTTTGCAGAATGGATTTAACTTCTGAAGGTAAGTAGAATATTAATTGATATGCAAGATAACATTGATATAAAGCCGTAAATTACAAGAAAGCAGTGAATATGTAGATTTTTTAGTGCTTAAAATCGAAAAAAAATATTTTACTAAAAAAAGTTACGATGTTCTGTCATTAAACCTGCTGGAGGTTGAAATTTTAAGTATTAGCTACAAAATAAATAAAAAATTAGCTGCCTCTAACTGCCCTGTTCATTTTTAAGAATTTATTAGTAAACTAAAGTATAGTATTGGAAACCCGAGTGCTGAGATATAGAAAGAATAAACTATTCGTAATTTCTTGTCACCATATTAGATTGGCCACTTATTAATTATACGAGTATCTTTAATTTTATTTTTGGAATCGTAATCAGCAACCCCAAAAACCTTGAATTTTATATGTAACTTGATTCCGCGACGAAATATGGGGTACTTCGTGCAAGGGGGTGGTCAACTAGGGTTGAAGGGGGATACACTTTTGTGAATTTGACATCAAATTCGTAATCGTCAATCACGAAAACCACCGAGAAAGAAATTTCGGATAATTTACTTGATTTCTACATTTTTGGCCAACCTTTTTTAGATTTGGCACAAAGAAAAAAAAAGGGAAATGTAACTAATGTAAATGTGCGTAATAAAAAAACAAAGAGAATAAACCTCCAAAGATAAAAATCGGATCATAAGATTGCCCGAAATTTGCAAAAAGGCACTTTCTTTTTGCAAAACTTGGAAAATTGATAATATAACAATCTTACATAATAAGTACATATTCATATATCCTAAGTATTAGATTTAAGTTATATGATACTAGTTGGACGCACCAGTCATCATTATACCGTCTATTAAATAAAATTGGGAAAAGGGCAGAAATGCGACTGATGATATCTAGTACCTATATAAATATCTCGTGTCACAGTGTTTGTGGTAGCACTCCTCCGAAACGGCTCGAATATTTTTTTATATTTGGTCGCTCAGTAGTTTTCACCCTTCTATCCCCACCTCCCATTTTTAATCTTAATTTTAGTATTTTTGTTTGAACCTTTATATGTCAGAAAAATGTTTGCCGGGTCAGGTAGTAACATAATTAAATAATACTAATAATACATCACAAATTTGATCATAAAAATCTGCACAGACGGCATTCCTAAGACATACAAAAACCAGTACGTTAAACGTTACTTAGAGCTATATGAAAAGTATAATACTCACTTTTCTTTAGCTGGTTTCTTTTTATCTTCTTTGTCATCCTCCTCGTCTCCTTCGTCGGCCTCTTCGTCCTCCTCCTCCTCGTCCTCTTCATCCTCGTCTTCTTCTTCAGTGTCCTGCACCAACAAAATATTGCATGTTTATATACCAGCTTGAGCGGGAAGAACATGCCTACACTAAAGATTAGATCGCCTTGGGGACTTTTCACAAGATTGACGAATTAAAATAAATTTGGAATAACAAAAAAAAAAGTCATTAGAAAAGCACTCTTGTTTGAATGATACACTGTGTGTAACATATTTACGTCCGAGAAGGGGTCGATAGGTGGACAGGGTGAAAAATATGCGATTTCATGATAATGCCAACTCATAAATAATACCTTAACTAAATTAGTCAAACGATGGTTTGTACTGTACTAACAAAACGTTAGGATGATAGTAAGCCAGTGCTAACTGATATCTTTATTTTAATATCACCCTAGAATAAAGGTAAATCACCTATTATTGCCCAATTTTCCTATTTACGGTAGTAAGTGGAATTCAAATTATAGTCGGCGCAAATGTAGGCGTTTAATCCATTTTTGAGATACAGGCATAAGTGTATGTTAGTAACAAAAAACGTCTTTTATATTCTCTCCTTTACGTTTTTACATAATATGTGCCGCTAAAAGATAGAGTTCAGGTTTATCTACACGTTATCGCACACACTACAAGAGAATAATATTTTGAACTCAAATATATACATTGTATAATTATTTAAGCCGTCAGACTCACCTCTTTCTTAGGCTTCTTTTTAGGGGCGGGCTTTTTCGCTCCCTTGTCGTTAGGCTTTACGTCATCTTTTTCATCATCATCGTGGGTCTCCCCATTTTCTTCCTGTAGACAACACAAATTTGCAATTTAATCATTAAAGAAAACTATATCCTCTATTCGTAATTAAAAGTTGGCTACTATTGTGATATGTGAACTTGAATATGTCACCAGTTTTAACTTAAAATACAGAAGCTTTTTCATTCGTATACCTATTATATGAGCGAGTTTAGCTTACTAACTTTGGATCGTAGACAGTCACTTGTCTGAAAGGTCAATTAGCTTAGCTTTCCCTTATGCGATTAAATTAAATAGTCATTCGTTTATATTGTTATAGTCTCAAGTCTGAAGACGTCACCTATTAATTCCCTTTCCAAGAAATGTCGGTAAATGTGAAGGTAGAAATTCGCACCATAATATTTTACATAACATGTAACATATAAACGGCATTTTTAGCTAAAAGAACTAAAACATTCAAATTGTTTAAATAAATAGCTGCTCTTACTTCGACACAAAAGGTGCAATTCAGGTCGCACAGCTTTAATTCAAGCTATAGGTATACCTTAGACGTTTTCCTTATTTCCTACGAGTGACTGATCGCTAAGCTCGCATATGATTAAGATCCAAATTTATCTAATGTAGCTAATTAAATAAGGCAATATCAATGCATTTACATAATCGCTGATGGCTCACACTAAAACTAACATTATTGTTCACACTTAAAGTAACATACAGCAGGTTCATCCGATTTATGGTAATTGCTACGGTACTTGAAAAAGTGATGTTCGCTAAAGGGGACTGAAGAAACCTAGTAAGATTCTGTTTCGAAAAAGAGGTACTAGAAATGCTGGCCTGGAGGTCGCGGACGAGGTTCCACGGTATACCCTAACAAAAGCAGGTCTGAGATGGTGCCCCCCCTTGAAAACAACTTGAGAAAAAAATACTAATATTAGTTAATCTCCCTGAAAATGTCGTAATGATGTACTTGTCTGTTGTCAAAACCGAGACTTGGTCATAACTTACAAAGGAATTTTGATGTTGCAAATAAATTGAGATAATTGAACAGACATATTTAAAACTAGCTGAGACCCGCGGTGTTACCCGCGTTTGTTGTTATAACGGCGGGCAACGCCGCGGGGCGAAGCTAGTCTAAAAAAGTAGCCTAAGTTACTCCTTATGTCATCAGCTATCTGCCAGTGAAAGTCCCGTCGAAATCGGTCCTGCCGTTCCAGAGATTACCCAGAACAAACAGACAGACAGACAGACAAAAATTGTAAAAAATGTTATTTTGGCATATGTACCGTGTACATACATATGCATTTAGTAAAAAGCGGTTATTTTAATATTACAAAAAGACACTCCAATTTTATTTATTTGTATAGATATCTTACCTTTTTTAGATCACTATCAGACTTTGCATCTCTTTTGTCGTCTTTGGAGTCATCTCCACCTACATCGTCATCTTTGCCGTTGGCTGTAGTGGACTTAGCATCACCTGTTAATAATAACATCACATTATAGAAACTGATCTATTCTGTTAAAATATCAGTAATCAATTTTACTATATTCAAAATTAGGGCATTACTAATGTTTCGTTTAAAATTATCGAGAATATCTTTCAACTTCTAACTTTCAACGTGTTTGTTGCATTGAATTAATTTATAATAATTGTGTTGCGAGTAGAAACCTAAACTCAAGTCCAGCAAGTATTGATTCATTAAACTAGTGCCTGTATTATACCTCAAGCTCCGGTAGATCGGATTTCTAAAACAATTTTTGATTGCCAGAATCCTTGTTCCGGGCATGTCTTTAGTAGAGGGAGGACCAATTGACCAATAGTTTTCACAGTACGGTATGTATGATTTAAGTACCCGAAAACATAGTTTTACTATTAAGATTTTTGTCTCAACTGGAGAGGATTTATTTAAAGAATATAATGTTTTACATTTTTGGTCTAGTTCTTAATTAGACTATAAGACTTTTGGAGAGTTTAATTTTATTTTAAGTACATTAGCCAAGTTTACAGTGCTGCTGATCAAATATATTTAATAATTTTTAATGCTAAATCATTTATTAAGCAATTAAAGGACAGAGCATAAGACAATTCTTTCTTAAAACCGCCCGACTGTGATAGTATTTTATTCTATACGAAAGCACTACTTGATGAGTATTATTCTGTCTTCATGTAGGATTATTGTAAACAGATATTTTTTCCATAAGCTTATTTCATGTATCCAAACTACTAATAGCACATTCACCAACGCCAGACTGAACAGGAGGAACAGTTCTGTGTTTAACAAATACTTAAACACCTTTTGTAAATACTAAATGTTTAAAAGATTATTAAAAGAAATGACGATAAAGAGACGGTATCGTTCAATGACTCGAAAATTTAGGTGAGTAACTATACTATATATGAATCCTGATGGTGCAATTATGTTCAAGCAATATTATTTCTCTATTTATTCAGCATCCCAAGGACAGTGAGATAATAATGATTATGAAATTTATTGCATCCAGACATTTGATAAAAAAAATGTTTTGTACTAAATTGAAATACACCCATCCCTTCCTATCATACAAGTTAGTTACAACTGATGGCCATTTTTTAAATATTATCTTTCCCTTCTTTTGTTAATTAAGTTCAGTGAGTAATAGACAAGTTCGTCATAATTCAAATAGCGCTACTACCGCGCAGAAGCTACGGTAATCGAATTGCTGTAAATTACTAGAATACCCATCAACTTGGGTACTTAACTACAAGAGGTTACATAATTAGAACCATTACGTTGAACTTTTAGTGGAAATTTGTTTAAACAAAAATAAATGTGCAGAACAGTCATATTGTGCAAAACGATAAACATTATAGTTTTAATTTATATACTTTAATTATCAACAATAACTTTGGTATTTCTCTTGGGCAGTACTTTTGCCTGGATGATCACTGACTGTGGCTTTTTCTCAAGTATAATGATGATATGATTAAAGGCACTACAGCGCATTTATAAGAATTAACAAAGATGATTTTAACGTGTATAATAAAAGAAGAAAAGTATTTATTAATAATATCTCGCCTTCGCAAACTTATAGCAAGGTTAAAAACAAGTTTTAGGATCGCCTAAGTCAGGTTCTGTCCAGGATATAGGACAGGACAGGACAAAAATAGTTATTGATTAACTTATCTCAGAAACTTATTGTAGAAATCTTGTTTGATGTCAGCTTCTTGAATAAAGCATTGTATAACATTATACTAGCCGGTAAAGTTGGATAGGTTGCAGTAACCATACATATTTTATGAATATTGAACCGCTCAACACGCATTGTCTGGCTAGTACCTTGTCTGAATTTGAAAAAATGTGTGAGAAAGTGAGAAATAACTGTTTCATTTTAGTATCAAAATTAAAAAAAAAAACTACTTTCTTAATTGAATAGACCCAAACAGCCATAGTCGCCTTTTAAATTTCAAACGCTTTTGGAGTACTTTTAGTCTTAGTATTTATGTGTAGACTTAGTATTTGGTATAATGCCCTCTTTACTGGAGTATTCAAAACTATAAAGATAATCCTAACCTAAGAATAAAAATACATATAATTATCTATTAATTATTTCATCTGACTCATTAACCTGAAAATAGATTTACCTACTGTATATTTGCCGTTTAAAGCCTCTAATAATTACATTAAGCAATAAAATAGATTTAAAGTATCTTCGATAGTTTTCTTCCTATGTTTTTTCTTAGTGTGAGAGAAGTTTTTAAATTAGTGCATTAGGCGTAAATGGTTACATGCGCCTTAATAATTCTGGCAATATAAATTCAGAAAAAAATGTTAGATGCGTCTTTTCAACTATCGTGGGCAGAACACAAAACAATAATAAAAACAACACAAACTTAACAAGAAACACAAAACATAACAATAAAATAATAACATAAAAAATTTAATTATTAAAATGATTGAAGAAATATCTGTTGCGCACGCGCACATGAAAGTTAAACACGGAATTGTCTAAAAACTAAAACCATCGCTCCCGCAAGGACGCGCGCTATTTCGCGGCAAAGGGTCCATTCCTTTCATACACGCGCCGCTACCGCTCAGTGAGCAAAAGTGCAAGTAGCTTAAGTGTAGTAAGTATAGTAATACCTCATCATTAGATATTCCTGTACCAGACTTACACATTAGGTCCTAATGCATTGTTACTAGGGATAGAATAAAATCACATTCACCTGTGATAAATCGTATGATTTGCAAAACATATAATCACTCCTGTCACCAGTTTGTGTTTTTCTGTTCTAACAAAATAGTGCTCAGCTAAGTTCGTAGGGGCCCCATTAAGTTAATTTGCCCAGGGCATCCAATAGGCTAGAGACGAGCCTGTCTGTGACTAATTAACAAAACCGCTGCGACTTATTATTATTATAACGCTAGCGTCAGACTCGCCAAAGGGTTAAAATAATTCTAGAATATAGAAAAAGTCTAATTGTTACGTACCACTTAGGTATACGATTTTAACCCCCATCAGAAAAATGGATGCAATTTTGGTGTGTATTTGTTTGTCTGTAAGGTAGTCTGCACCGTCGTAGTCCTAGATTTTGATACAGTTTTTTGTTTCCAAGGTGAATTGATCGAGTGTGTTCTTAGTCTGTTTCCGTTTTCGGATACGTTTCTTTAATACTGTGTATATACTCGTATATTACGTATAAATAGTACTTTCTATTCACAAAACTTACGTCAGGCTAGTGATCAAAATCAGAACGTCACTGAGTTCGTGTCTTTTCACTTTTAACACTGATTAATTAGTCTCATTTTGTTCATTAATCTGATAAGTATACAGTAGTATGATAAATAGGTCAGTGGATATCAACAAGATTACACAGACGCCTATAACTGTCCAAATAATTTGTTTAGAACCATTTCAAAGTCAACAAACTTGAGCTTACTATCTGACAATATTCAGAACGAGATAAATTATTCCCGAACAATCTTGATGACTCCGAATGACTTTTTGATGAAGAAGGATAGGCGAAACTTCCTTCAGAAGATTTTCAACTGTGTATGTTAACTAGTTAATTTTAAATCATTACGCCTCTTTAGATCATTACATTCTTAAACTCTAATGATTCCATTGTATATTTGATTCGACTTGATTCGATTTGATTCGACGACCGAATGGCGTAGTGGTTTGTGTAACGGACTGCTATTCCAAAGGTCGCGGGTTCGATTCCCGCTCAAGTCAAACATTTGTGTGCATGAACATTTAATGTTTGATTTGGTCTGGGTGTTTCTATGTATAATATGTATGTATTTACAAAAAAAAAGTATATATGTATTTATATCAGTTATCTAGTACCCATAGTACAAGCTCTGCTTAGTTTGGGACTAGATGGCGTTGTGTGAATATGGTACAATATTATATTATATTATATTATATTATATTCCATTGAAAAATTAGGATTGTAGGTACAAAGCTTTTTACTACAAATAATTTTAACTGTAAGGCAAAATAAGTTCTATTAAGAATAAACAAAAAATCTATAATTAAATTGTGTAAAACCGGTACACATTAGTTTGCGGTTCATGTCTTAGTAACACTGTATAAAGAGCTCCAATTCCCCAAGAAGTGAATAAGCTGTCAAGTCATCTTATTTATTAAGATTGAGTCACAGTTTTGTAGTTTGAATTGGTAATTAGATATATCAAAGACTTATTGTGCGTACCTATTCGAAATCTACTTTTTAAATAAGTTTATGTATTAGGGTTTTTAATGTGAATACTTAGTTACTGCAAATTTATTATACAAAATAAAACTTCTTTTTTCGTTATATACTAAGTTTATAATGAACTAGTTGACCCGCGCAACTTCGTCCACGTCTCTCAAAAGAATCGGGCTCCTTGTCATCGCCAAATTCATTCCGGTGGACACGATCTAGCACAGATGTCCGCACGGCTATCCTGTAACCCCTAAATAACGTTATGTATATGAGCTAACACTCGTTGGGGAACAAGAGTTCCGTTACAATTAGCAAGTATAATACGGGACACCAAACTCCAGTTGTTATTGCCTTCTGTAAGTCTTATTAGACTCACGTTCAAATTTACCTCAAAAAGTACAATAGGTGGTCAATAGTCCATAACCTACATCAAACACCATCATTTAGCCCTTCATTTTCTTTGATAAGTTTAGAATCAAATCTATAGAAGAAGAAAAGAAATGGCTAAAACTATGAAAAAAACGAAAAAAAAAGGTTTTTAGACAGCAGCAGCAGCTTTTATTAATAAATTATCACAGCTGTAAAGTTGATTATTCAAATTGCCGTACTGAAATGTAAGGCAAAATCAATAATCAATACCCATTACTTGGTTATTAGTAACCTTGTCTCCCTCATCACCACAGTCTTGTACGTTTTTAAAGTGTTAAGCAACTGTTCCAGCCTTTGAGAAATATGGCCAAAGCTATAGCGCGGTTCTGACTGTTCCTGTATACTTGCTGGGCCTCAAT